TGGTTGAATCCGTCCCCAGGACTGCCAAAATAGAGAGAGAGAGAGAGAGAGAGAGAGAGAGAATAGTGTTTCATGTATCTTTTTCTACCAGAAAGTGAAGATATCTTTTAAAAGTGTTTTACATAAAAGGGGGAAAAACTTGACCAATATTCCACTGAACAGTGCACTGGGGGTGTGGCTCAGTGCTCGCCTGGCATTTGTGTGGATCTGAGTTTGATTCCCAGCACCACCAAAAAAATAAAGAAGCTTTATAATCCTACAACTCCCTCAGTTCCTCTCCCAAGATAAATATTCCTATTAATTTGTTGTATTCCCTCCCCCTCCTTCTCCCTCTTTCTGTTGTAGTTGTATAGTTCTTTTACATAATTATTTACATAATTTAATTTCATGAACTGGGATAAATAAAAAATAGGAGTAACCAAGAGTTGATGGGGACTCTGTGGGAGAGATGTAACATTTTCAGTGTGGATTTAAGTACAGAGTATAATCCACTGTATCTCCTTAACAGACTGAACCAGTGAACTGAGCCCTGTTTTTCCATCCGTCAAAGGATCAGGCCAAATTCTTCATCTTTCAGGGTTAAAAAAAAAGAAAAAATCTTGCCAAAGAAGATGCTCAGGTAAAATAATTCTGTTAGAAATACCCACTGTCATTGGAAACCTAGCAGGGCTTCAGGTCAGATAGAGGTATTTGTTTGTCTTACACTTCAAATAATTGCCAGTATAACTGTAAGCAAGTTACTTTGCTAATCATGCCTCATCTTTGTAATGCCTTGGCTCTGACTTTATCTTCTTGGTATTCTGTATTTGAATAATTTTTTTATAATTTCCCTTGAAGGTTGATAAGTAAAGATCTCTTCATATACTACTATTAAGAAAATAAAAATGTTATGCAGATAAGCTACCTCAGTGGATTCTATAAATAGATTTTAATGGCCTAGAAACAAGAATTAGACATTTGGATTAAGACATTTTTGTAGCTTTTAAAACCAGCCAAAACCATTCTTTCGTGAATTATCTACAGTGTGTATTACAATAGTAGGGTTTAATTATCATGACAGGGACTTTATGGTTCACACTGCTAACAATCAATACTATCTTGCCCTTTGTAGAATTTCCCAGTGTAATGATATGTGTGGAATGAGTTTGTGTGTGTGTGTGTGTGTGTGTGTGTGTGTGTGAGAGAGAGAGAGAGAGAGAGAGAGAGAGAGAGAGAGAGAGACTGGGCTTTGAACTTGATTTCATGCTTGCAAAGCAAGTGCTCTACTGCTTGAGCCACATCTCCAGGTCCTCCCTCCCCCATTTAAAAAAATTGTTATTGTTAATATGTATTAAGGAATTAATTTTGTTTTAATTGAACTGTGTTTTCAGGTTCCCTTGTAAAATATTTACTAGTAATTTCTTTACTGAAGTTCTTTTGTCTCCATTTTGGTGAATAATTGTCATTGTAAACAGTTACTCCTCACTGTTTCCATATGAAGCTTGAATGTTATTAGAAAATTGATATGTTTGATTGGGTTTGTGGCAAAGCTGCAAGGAAGGTAAATGCTAATCCTTAAGTATGTGCTGTGTCCAAGATCAGTTTAGCCAACTTTATAAGGTTTTAAGTATAGCAGTAATTTGTTGTTCTTTGCTTTATCTTTAGCAAATTAAAAAAGTTAATTAGGGAAATGCTTGTCATCTGACAATTACACATTCAAAATATTTACCTGTCCTTGACAGTGGTTGAAGACAGACAGTGAACAAGGAAATCTTTTCCCTGATTTATCCTTATCTCTGATACCAATTTTGGAGCCACTATTCAAACGATGGCCTTATATGCTGCCTGAGTCATGCCGCTTTCCCAGGAAACTACTCAAAGATCTGTAAAGACTTTCCTGGCCTTCATACATGGTATATTTTTCCAGTACTTTGTACACATTTCAGTATGTCTATTTTTCCTGTGAGGTCCTTGTCACCTTTGTCTGAATTTTTCTGAGGCCTGGCAAATAAATGACAGTCAATGGAATGGAATCTGGAAAGCCTTAGAACTCAGTCCCAATGACTGAAAACAATCCAATTATTTGATCAGTAGGAGATTGTTTAAATAAACTATAGTACATCTTTAAAATAGAATATCATGTAATTTGGCTGTTCATTTCTTTGTTTAAAGACAAGGTTTCACTTATAGTGCATGCTGACCTGGAAGTTGGTCCTCCTGCCACCACTTCCCAAGTACCAGAATTATTGGCATGGACCACCACACCCAGATCGTTGATTGATTGATTGATTGATGGTGCTGGGGTTTAAACTTAGGGCTTTGTACTTGCAGGGCAGGTGCTCTACAGCTTGAGTCATACCTCCAGACCTCTAAATGAATTTTTAATCTTAATTCATATATACATATACTAAGTAAGGCATAAACTTATAGGACATAGGGTGACTAAATTGTCAGTGACTTTGAATCTATGATTAGAATTGAGTTGAACCTTTATGACAAAACTAAGGATTATTTTCATCTTCAGTGACCTCTTCTTCTTCTTCTTTTTTTTTTTTTTTTTAAAGTTGTGATAAAGTTTCAGGGCCTGAAACATGCCAGGCAAGTGCTCTACTGCTAAGCTGAATTCCCAGCCCCTTTGTGGCTGTTTGATAGTCCAAACAATGGTTTTCATGGGCTCAATTGTGACTTGAGAGAACAAATTTTCTTCTCCGTAATGTTAGTTTAAGGTTCTCTGGGATTGAAAAGTGCTCAAGATATGGTTGTTTCTTTCAAGAAATCCAACTAGAATATAATACATAAACACCAGTTTCAAAAAAATGAGGAAAAGTCACTATAACAGTGATGACATACAGGCACATAATAGCTATCTTCCTGTGAATTACTCCTGCTGTCACCCCAAGCAGAGTTTAAATGCTACTCTGGAATGTACCCTTTACCTACCATCTTGAGCCACTGCTGAATTTGCCAAATTATTAACAACTTGAATGACTGTCCCACATTAAGAAGTACATTCATGCAACTCAGCCTCTAACAAAGACACCACTGTATATTGTACTTGATGCTTTGCAACTGTTAATTCTTGGATCATCTCACTTAGTATCTCTGAGGTTAGATGTATAAAATGTTGGTAGCATAGCCATTTTCTACAGAAACATGGTTACATGTTAAGTGGCAGATCCAGAACTTGACAGTAGGATTCTATATTCTAATCATCTTTCCTATTAGTAAATAGGGAATAAGATTAATAGTATCTTTATGCCCAGCACTAATCTAAGTATTATCACTAATCCTTGCATCTTTTCTGCTAGGTGGTTCTTACTGTCACTCACTTTGCATATGTTGAAAAATGAGGCCCAGAAAGATGAAATGATTTGCTGAACTTCCTGTAGGTGATGAATAACAGAATGAGGATCTATACCAGATCTCTCAATCTCCACATCTGGAAACAGGAATAAAAAGCACTAGCTTTGCAAGTTGATGTATAGTGAAGTGAGCAAGAGGTCTTGCTCACTTGCTCAGGTCTAGGTTTTACCCATTATCTGAGCTTTCAGTTGGTAAGAGCATATAGTTCATTATTCTAAAGTTGGGCTGCTCCACTTTTATTATCTTGCCAAGTGCTGACTGTTAAAACACATGTGACTGCTAAGCCCTCCTCAGGCCTTTGGCGCCCTTGCTGTAAAGGCAGGTGGTATGAAGAAAGGCCCCCTTTAGGTTGTTGCACACTGTACACAGTACATAACAGTGCGAGACTACTGTCAGTTCCTTCTCCCCCTACCTATCCAGAAAGCTGGGTCCCAGATGGAAGAGCTGGAAACTTGTCAACTGTTCTCTGAAGGACGTTGAGAAAACACTGACAGGGAGAAAAAGGCAAGCGCAACAGCTCATTAGTCCACTAATCAGGCAGGATGGCTGTCATTTTCACAAAGATCATGTCCTGAACAGACAGAGGGCAATGACTGGCAATTTTGTCCACATGGCTGTCAGAGACTGCATATTTTTGTTCGGGGGTTTGTAACATGGGATCTTGGTTTTCTTGACTTTCTTTATTCATTGTATCCCTTTGCAAGAATATGACTATTGGAAATCAAAGTGCAAAATAATATTTGGGGGTTTTCTCCTCATTAGAAAGTGTTCTGTGAATGTGCAAAGATGTGCCTTGTAGTATCCTGAACACTCTGGTATTGTTGTCTTTATAGCTGTGGTCTCGCAAAAAGAAAACTTTGACTTTACTTTCCTTACACTTTAAATTGAATTGATTAAATTCCTGGTACTTACGTAAAAAGCTTGTAATTACTGAAAGGAGCATAGGTCAGTTTAAAGGTGAGTCTACTAACCAAGTATGTAACATGTTATGTTCCCTTTAGGGAACAATAACTTTTTATTTAAACAAAAACTCTTATTTTTGAGACAGAATCTTTGTGAGGAGCAAAGCTATGGCTTGCCTTGAACTTACAGTCCTCCTGCCGAATCCTCTTGAGTTCTAGGATTACAAGTGGGTAGCATGACCCCTGGCTTGCATGCATAAATGAATGAATGAATGAATGAATGAATATATATATATATATATATATAAAATTGTTATTTTGAGATGAAATCTTTCTGTGTTTCTCAGGTTAGCCTAGCAAGTGCAAGGCCCTAAGTTCAAGCTCCAGTACTGCCAAACAAAAAAATTTGTACTTCATCTTTAGTAGTAATTTATATACAACTGATTATGAGTCTGTTTCTATATCATGTAGTTGATGTCTGATGGTCTAGAAAATTCCAATGTTAGGGTTTTTTTGTTTTGTTTTGTTTTCTATAAGGAGAAGTCAAGAAAGAATACATTTTAGGTAATCCAAATTTGTAACCTGGTGTCTTCTGTTCTCATCTACTCTCTAGACTGTTAGGTTTCAGTTACTATCACCCCTTGTTCTTTTTCCTTGTTTTAGTTTCTAGGGTTGACAAAACAAAAGTACCACAAACTAGGTGGCTTAAGATAATAGAAATTTATTCTATCACACTTTAGCTCAAAAGTCCAAAATCAAGGTATCAGAAAAGCTGATTTCTTCTGGGGCCTCAGGCAGAGAAATCTTTTCTACTCTCTTCTAGCTTCAGGGTTGTTGCTAATCCCTGACAGTTCTTGGTTTGCGGATGCATCACTTCAGTCTCTTTCTGCATCATCACTTGGTTTCTCTGTGGATGTATATCTGGTCTCTTCTCTTCTTTAAGGACACAATTCAGATTTGATTTAGAGCCCACTCAGGTAATCCAGGATGATCTCCTCTGAAGAACCTTACCTTAATTATATCTGCAACAATCCTTTTCCCAAGTAAGGTAGCATTTAGATATCTAGATGTTAGGACATGAGCATTTGGGAGCGAGCTTTCTACTCATTATACTAACCATCTTCTTAACTTCTCAGTCCTCTAGGGAAATAGGATGGTATTTCAAATCATGGTTGCTATTTTCATTATCTTATAGAAAGTCTAACTTCCATTTCTCTTATTCTCCACAGTTGGTTCTGAGAGAAAGGTGCCAGCAATGCCTGGATCGCCTGTGGAAGTGAAGATACAGTCAAGATCCTCACCTCCCATAATGCCACCCCTCCCACCAATAAATCCTGGAGGACCGAGGCCAGTGTCCTTTACTCCTACAGCATGTGAGACCTCTTAATTACTTGGGCTTAGGGTTCAGAGTAGTATTTGTATCTAAGTGACTGCCTGCCATTAAACCCACATATACTATTCAACATTTCCAAAATCCTATTAATATATAGTTAAGGGCATATGTGGTTGTACAGTGGTGCACATTTGTAATCTTAGCACTCAGAAGGCTAAGATAGGAGGATTTTGAGTCCTAGGACAGCCTGGGCTACAGAGTGAGAGCCTATTTCAAGAAACAAAAAAAAAAAAAAAAGAAGAGCAGTCTATTAAGATAGTGCCAATATAGAAAGAAGTATGATTTGGGAAGTAAAATAGAAGCATGTACACAGGCAGTACAAAAATTTATTAAATCTACTGAGGTTTACCTGAAAGCAGAGCAGCAATGATATGTGCTAAAGAAAATTCCATACTACAGATGATAGCCAAGCTGTAGAGGATGAAAAAGAGTTTCAGTATGGGTCAGTTCAGGAAGAGGAAGCATACATGGGCAAGTGACTGTGAATAGCTTAGATAGAGGAAGATGGGAAGTAGGAGATTTGTTATGTTTATATTGGGCATTGTACAGGTAAATGTCAGTTTTCAGTGATTGGGCTTTTTAAACCTGTCATATCTTGACAAATTAGTTTCTGTGTTTTTATATAATTGTTCCACCTTCTTAGATTTTTATGCATGACACAATTAGTGAAATCTTATTGAAACTTAGGTAGTAGGTAATTTTATTTTAATGTTCAGTGACAAAGGAGGTTTTTACTTAATGTTGCCAAGAAATAGCTCTAGAAATAAAAAACAAATAAGTTAAAAAAATAAATTTTGCCCTAAGGTTGTTTCCAAATTAAAACTTCCAGGAATGACTACTAAGAACAACAGGAAAATAGGAATACTAATTGATCCCATTTTTTTTTTATGATACTGGAGTTTGAAACTCGGGACCTCAGGCTTGCTAGGCAGGTGTTCTACCACTTGAGCCATAACTTGAGCAAAAAACATTAGAATGGATTCCTTTATTGAATGTAGACAGTTACCTCCCTCTGCCTCTTTCTTCTCCCCTTTCTTTCTCTTTCTCCTCCTTCTCCTTACTTTTTTCCTTTCCTCCCTCCCTTCCTTACTTCCCTTTTTCTTCCCCCCTTTCCACCATAAAATAGGGTCTTTCTAGGTTGCCTAGAGTAGCTGAAACTCCTATACTTAGTTGATCTTCCTGCCTCAGCCACTCAAGTAGCTAGGACTATAGTTACATGCCACCACACCTATCTTTATACTTCTGTTTTAACACTTGCCATTTTTTATCTGACAATCTGAGCATAAGGTAATCTCATTGAGGACAGAAACAGAATATTTAACATGTGATTTTTATAAGTTCAAATTAATGAATGAGGGAAAACAAGAAGAAATTGGCCAAAGGCCCTGTGTTCTGCACTTAAGCTGAGTCTTTCATTTTGGCTTTCTTTTAGTAAGCAATGGTATTAACCATTCCCCTCCAACCCTGAATGGTGCTCCATCACCGCCACAGAGATTCAGCAATGGTCCTGCCTCTTCCACATCATCTGCACTAACAAATCAGCAATTGCCAGCCACTTGTGGTGCTCGGCAACTCAGCAAGTTAAAACGCTTTCTTACCACTCTGCAACAGTTTGGCAATGACATTTCACCTGAGATTGGGGAGAAGGTTCGGACTCTTGTTCTAGCACTGGTGGTAAGTACATTCCCTAGTACAGCGTCATTGTTGTCAGTTGCTGGAGTACAAGGCTCAAATCTACAGCCAGCAGAGAATTTGTAGCTGCTTCTACTCATTCCCAAACCTGTAGTTATCTGCGAATTCTAGAGACTCAGTTAATTTATAATTCATATAAAATTGCCAAATTGGAGATTTCATGATAACAGTGTTTGTCAGACAGCAAAATCTATAATGCTTACAGTGCTGTTTAAGATGTTTGTTTAACTCCAGTAATCAGCTTGGATTTGTCTTAAAAGTGGTTTTAACAGTTTTAAGCTGAGATTCAACCAAGCTAATGCAAAGGTTTTTTGTTTTGTTTTGTTTTTTTAAAAATAATTTAAAATAGTCAGTGGCTAGTGCATTATTTTCAAACCAAAGAGAATAGAGAAGTAGCTATTTTAATTTTCAAAATAATAATTTATAAAATTCTAAGTTTCATGGTCTAAATAAATGGTATCAGTGGTTACATTGTTCAGCTCCTCATGCATATAGTTGCTTTCAAGTTTTCAAGGTATGCATAATTTTTTCTTTGTATACTAACCATGGTGAGCCTATTATATAAAGGAGTGATTTTCTGACAGTAACAGTTGGGTAAGGTTTAACTCTGGATTTATAAGGGAAGTGCTGGCAGCTTAATGTTTGCAAATTAAAAGCTTTTAAGATTTACCCCAGTAAAAGCATTCTCTGCTATTTCCTGCATGTTAGTCACATCAATCAGAATATCAGAAATTAAAGTCATATTTCTTAAAGTATAATTAAAGTAGTATCCTGAGATTCCCCAGGATCCTTACTTGAGGTCCAGAAGTTGAGACTATTTTCAAAATAATGTTGCTCTTACTGCCTTTTTATTCTTACTCTCTCAAGAGAAGAGTATGCAGTGGCATTTTCTAGAAGCTACGGAACAGGAATCTTGCATTTCTTTCAGAAAGTAGGATTTTTTAAAAATGTCATTTTAACATGTAATGGGTTATTTTGAAAGGATAAATAGTAATTATTTTTTAATTCTCAGTTTTATCTCTGGTATAATGAATATAATCAGATATTTCCCACATAATTTAGAGGGATTCTGAGACCAAAAGGTTTAAGAACTGCTTCTTTAAAAGATTTCTCACTCTGGTCTGGTGGAGTGGCTCAAGTACTAGACAGAGTACCTGTCTAGCAGGTGTGAAGTCCTAAATTCAAACCCCAGTAACAACAACAATAACAAGGATTTCTCCCTCTAATATGGAAGAAATAACTTTCCTATAATGCAAAATGCAAAAATGATTTTGTGTCATTTTTATCGCTATAAAGTATTTTATTAGAGGTCCTCTCCCCCCTTGTAGCATGAGAGTTTCTTGAAGGATACAATAAAATTTGCCATCTTAACCTTTTTAAATAAATTGTTTGGGACTGGGAGTATACATCAGAGGTGGGTTTGATCCCCAGCATTGCAAAAAGCAACACCAAGAAAAGAAAACTTCCAGTTTGTTCTGTTCACCACTGAAATTTGCAAGCAAGGGGAAGGCTGGGGATCTGAGAAAGGACTCAGACCCAGAGTGCCCCACTCCTTCAGTGTTTTTTGAGTTGCTGTGTATAGCTAATGATTATTAGGTACATGTAGTTTGTTGTTAACTTCTGGGTAAGTATTTTCAACTTTCGTGTTCTGAGAAGCACCGCATAGCACTATTATATGCAGGAACAATCATGCATGCAAGGAATTCATGATTCTTTGACCAGTGCTGGGAGGACACTGTTTACAATATCACTTGTCCCATATCCCAGATACTTGATGTGGCAAGCAATCTGCTCAGCAATTCATAAACTTGTGATATTCATCATGCCGCATGGTCTCCAACAACCATGATGTACAAATATCTCTAGGATCCTGATTTCATGGTTCATCCATATTGTATTGTATGTCATAATCCCTTTTTAAAAGCTGTATTATATTCCATTCTATGTATATGCCACCTTTGTTTATCCATTCATTCATTAATGGACTCTTGTTGCTTCAATGTTTTCAGTTAAGGACACTTTTATAGCAGTTTAGGAAAACTACTTATCATTCAAATTTGTTGATGGCTAACTAATGGCCCAACCTTGTAAGCAGGCCTGTGTAAGATTATCAGTTTTAGGACTGCTCTGTTAACTCTTCTTCCTGCATAGGAACCATTACAAATAATGCACCTATGAACATCCTTGTACATGTGTGGTAGCATTGTACACAGCAACATAATTGTGCTTTCATGCAAATTTAATATACATATAATGGCATACAATTCTATGAAGTATGATTCCAGTTGATATTCTTATCTGTTGGAACCTTATTCTTAAATTAATAATCTTAAATTAATCCTAATAATCTAAAATATTTATTGAAATTATGAGTGGGTTTGGGGAAGTACAGGGAGTAAAAGTGTTTGTTAAATTATACACTAATTTACTATTTTAAGAAAAATACCAAAGAAGTTTTGGCAGGAACTTGTTTAATCTAATGCTGGTTATATATTAATCAAAACTCTATAGTAAGTCTCATACTCAATGGTGAAATTTTGAAAACTTTCCCTCTGAGGTCAGTTACCAGGTAAGAATGTACCCACTTCACTTTTCTATTCAGTTTAATCCTAAATGTTCTAACCTAGGAAATAAGGTACATGGATAAGAGACAGCTAAGTAAACTGCTATTTGAAGGCACTTCATATGCTTATATTGTTTACCGTGTTAAATCTGATAGAAAGCATCTCCACCTTTTCGAGTCTTTTATTATGACAAGTATAAGATTTTGTTGGGCACATACAAGTGTAACAATCTTTCCAGGTCTTCGAAACTTCATTTGCCACGTCATAAAAAAAAAAAAAAAAGGCCACATAGTTGTAGGTAGAGTTCGCTTGTCTGGTGTATAAAAGGCAAGATGCTGATAGTCTCTGCTTATACCTGGCATCAAGCATGGCCAGTTTTCACTTGAAGGGAAGTATTTTGTGTTCCACTTACTTATTCGGAGAATGTGCATTCTGGAGGACAGTTGGCGATATTTCAGGTACCATAAAAGAGGAAGTTCCTTTGACTCAACAGTTTCACCCCTTGAAATTCGTGCTAAAAAAGAAAAAAACAGTGTGCATCAGGGTAATCAACTGAGGGCTGGGGGTGTATTATCTCAGTGGGAGAGCGCTTGCCTAGCACAAGGTTTGGTCTGTACTGCAGCCAATAAAAATGTATTTTCTTAAATAGCCTGAGTAATTTACAATTACAATTACAATGCATCTGTTTAATGGAGTTTAAAAAGTCATTTAAAAAAAATCAAGTCTCATTGTGGTTCATAGGCAAGATATAAAAGCATACTTCTCTGTTTTTCCTGTTAAGTACAGCAAAATATCCTGAACATTATATATAAAACAAAAATAAGATTCTTAGAGATGGAGAGAAGAAGGCAGATTCACTCTTACCTTAGGACCCAAGGAATGACATGACAGTGAGTTTCTTAGATTTCACATTTTCCTAATATATCATGGACTGGGGTATGCAGCCTGGAAACACCAATGAGCACAGGTTTTTAAAAAGCCTCTTTCTAGCCAAAGGGAAAAAAAAAAAAAGGAACACCCAAGCAAGGCAGAAAACTTTTAGACAATTACCACCCTTCTTTAGCCAATCACTGAAAAAACTCTAGTAATGAGGCACCTTCCCTTTCCAACAGAGGCTTGGTAGGGAAACTGAATTCATCCATGCCCAGCATTTAAGTCTCCTTTCTCTCAAGTCAACAGAGATTGAGTGGGGACCTGGGATTCGGCCCCACCTGACAACATCCATGAGGCATCCTCCTCTCTTTCCCCGCCCCCCCTGCCCACTTGTATAATGTTTGGAAACTTCTTCAGTCAAGACATAGAGGGTTCTAGGCCCCTGTGGCTCACACCTATAATCCTAGCTACTCAGGAAGCAGAGATCAGGAGGATTGCTATTGAAGCCAGCCCCAGGTAAAATAGTTTGTGGAGACTCTGTCTTGAAAAAACCCATCACAAAAAAAGGGCTGGTGGAGTAGCACAAGCAGTAGGTGAACCTGCCTAGCAACTTGAGGCCCTGAGTTCGAAATCCCAACAGTGCCAAAGAGAGAGGGGAAAAAATGTGTAGCTGAAAAGATATTTAAAGATATAATGATTGAACTTTTCCCAAATCTGATGAAGGTCCTAAACCTACACATTTAAAAAAAGCTTAACGAGGCATTGTAGCTCACGCGTATAATCACAAATTTAGGGGGTGGGAGCAGGAGGATCAGTAATTCAAGGCCAGGCTGGGATATGTAGCAAGGCCCTGTCTCAAAACAATAATGACAACCCTCATTCCCAAAAAAAACAAAAAGTCTGAACAAATGTTAAATTTGGTAAAACTCTCCTCCCTCAGGTGGTACCAGTAGCTCATGCCTGTAATCCTAGCATTTTGGGAGGATTGCAGTTCAAGGCTAGCTACAGCAAATAGTTTTTGAGACCCCATCTCTAAAATAACCACAGCAAAATGGAGTAGATGTATTGCTGAAGCTGTAAAGTGCCTGCTTTGTAAGCACAAAACCTTGAGTTTAAACCTCAGGCCTACCAACAACAATAACAAAACAACACCCCTCAGTCAGCACCACGGTACATTCTGTTCAGACTTCTGGACGCAGCAGGAAACACCCTGAGTTTAAGGGAAACATTGTCATAATGCTGAATTTCTCATTATTGAACTTAGAGACCAGAACGAAGTGGCATGTTTTTCAAGTGTTAAATAAAAGGAATTGTCAATCTAGAATCCTAGGTCTATTGATAATATCCTTCTGAACATATTATCCACCATTACCACCCCACCTTCTCAGAGCTAGGGATAAAACCAGAGTCTCAGGCCTAGGCAAACACTCGCCACTGAGCTACACCCTAACCCAGTAATGTCTTTCTGGAATGAAGATCAAGACGATCAGGATATTTTCAGCTAAAGTAAAACTAAGAGAATTTGTTTCCAGCAGACCTACCTTGTGAGAAAGGCTAAAGGAAATTACTGAAGCAGAAAACATCAGGATAAATGAAAGAAAAATGGAAAGAGTAACAATACAGTTGCTTCTCTCTCCCCCTGCTCTCCTCTGTTTTTTTAGTTTTTTGAGACAGAGTCTGGCTATGTAGCCCAGATGGCCTCCAACCATCTTTGTGCCTTTCGCCTCCCAAGTGCTGGGATAACAGGTGTATGCCACCATGCCCAGTTTTCTCATTAGTTTTCTAAATTATGTTTGATGGTTGAAGCAAAACATTACAACCTTGATAAAGTTGTTAGTACATGTAGAGAAAATATTCAAGACAATTTTATTACAAATCAGGAAGCATAAAGATTTTTCTATACTTCTATATATTGATCATTGCTAGTTACATGAATATACTCATGATAAATGGTATAGAAGCATACATATATTCTACTAATGTTATTTGCATTGGAACCTTTCTGTTTTATTTTTGCAATTTCCTTTAATTATAATTATCTCAAATTTAAAACTTATTAAAAGTTTCAGTGTGGTGGCCTATCTCTATACTTTTAATCTTCTAAAACCACTAAAGGTGTTGCCTGTGAGAACCAGAGACCAGATTCCCTAACATCTTGCTTTTTCACATTCATCTCTCTGCCCAAGATGTCTTCCAAGGCTGCACATTAACTTCTTCAGATGACACTTCCACAAAGCCTTCCTTGTCCCTATCAGTCTGATACCAGTGTATCTTCTCTGAGTCAGTAGTGTCCTGTATACATGAACTTTCATTATTCTGTATTGAGTAGCTTTTTTGTCTGTTTTCCCACTTAACTATCAGTTCTTTGGCAAAAAATCAGATAATTCTGCTCTTAGTGATTTTTATAATTGTATAATTGAATGAAAGAAGGCTGATTCATCAGTTGTTCATCCCTCTGAGCTGCAGGGCCACCTGTATTGTCAGTATATTGCTGCCTTGAGTCTGTTTCTCTTAAGTCACTATTTCCCTGTGCTACAGTTTGTTCTTTCCCTTTGTCTACCCATAAGAAAACTTAAAATGATTCCCACAGTCTTTCCATACATTTAATCTACTGGTGTTTGTTTTTTGAAACCTCATTACATTCAAGACAGTAGAGATAAAAGGGTATCATTCTCTTATAATTAGTCTTTATTCCTGACTACCAGTATTATAGACTACTTTCATTGTATTATACAAATGTCATATAGTTAAAACAAGTACTCAGTTTGTAGAATTTAAAATAATTTTTTAAAGTGGAAAATAAAATAAGTAAATCTTTTTTTGATGTGAAATAAGGGAAAATATTCAAGCATTTTCATTTAATGTTAAATTGGTTATACTTTTTCTCTAAAGGGAAATATCTTAATTTTTACTGAATAATAAATGTTATGTACTAGGAAAATCTAACAATATCAGTAATGTATAAGAAATAACATTACTATTCTGGATATTCTTCCAAATGTTTAAAAATATTTTGTGCATGTGTGTGCGCATGTGCACACATGTTATTTTCATAAGTGGATTCTTAGAAAATTTCCTGTTTCTGGTTTTTCACTTAACTGTATATTGCAGGCACTTCCTTCATTAATTCATTCAAACCTGCTCCCCCAAGTGTTGTGGTATGACTGTATTATTCATTTTAATTTCCTGTTTGGTGGGCCTATATGGGTCTTTTTGTTTTTGTTGTCATTTTGTTTCTTGTTGTTAAGAAACAATATTGTGCTAATGAATAATTTGTGTGTTACATGTTATGTCTTGAAACACTTGGAAGATTTTTCTAAAAATAAATTCCTAAATGTGATAATTGTTCTTTCAGAGGAATAAGAGTTTAGATTAATACTCTAGATTTTTGGGTTTTTACTCACTTCAGTTTGCTGTCTTTAGGAAGTTGAAATGAAAATATTTCATAAGGTTTTTTTTTTTTTGTGGTGCTGGTATTTGAACTCATGGCCTCATACTTACTAGACAGGTACTCTACCTCTTGAGCCACTTTGCCAGTTAATAGTTTATAAACTTTGAAGAAAATACTTGTATGTGTTTGTTCACCTTAGCAGAAGATCTAATATTTTTTGAAGCCTAAAAGTTTGAGAAATATAGGATGGGTGCTAATAACTTTTTTTGAGAATAAGAAGAATTTACTTCTGGGGCTTTACCTATGTGGAGTTGTTCTTTTCTTTTTCTGATTGATTGATTGATTGCATTACTGTGGCTTAACCTCAGGACCTACACTTTGAGCCACTCCACCAGACCTTTATTGTGATGATTTTTTTTTTTTTTTTTTTTTTGAGATAGGGTCTTGAAAGTCATGCCAGGAAGTAGGCAGCTCTAAAAAAAGAAAAACTTGAAAAGTGTGACACTTGGTTGTTGAGTCAGGAGGATCTACTCACCAGGAAGCATTGTATATTTGATTCCATGTGTTTGATGAAACTTGCAATGTATTCCTCAGTATGGGAGGGTCTGAGGGGCTCTTATCATAGTAGAGAGGAAGGCAGTGTCCTATTCTGCAGTCACACTGCTAGACAAAGGGGAGAACTTAGATTTGGGGAAGTGGAGAAGAGAATCAGAAGGAATTTGGTTAACCTTAGAGTGGGGTCTGAGTTCATGATCACTTGAATACTTGGAAATAGCCCTTCCCTTATGATTTAAAAGGGCTTAACACTGGAACAGTATCCAATTTTTTGAGTTGAACGTTGTTTATCTTTTCAGAACTCAACGGTGACAATTGAAGAATTCCATTGCAAGCTCCAGGAGGCCACAAACTTTCCTTTGCGTCCTTTTGTGATTCCATTTCTCAAGGTAATTCTATATATGAGAACTACCAAATGCAATTTATCTTTAGCATTTCCTCAAGATCTACAATCTCTTTTTCTCTGGTCTAAAATAGGGTGGCTCGCCACACTTTTCATATATTTGTTTTATTTTGGTCTGATAGAGAGGTATAAATGTAAGTAAGCCTCATGCATGATGACATGAGAGTTACAGAAGACCTGAATGTGGTCTGTGTACAGACACTATTGCTAACACACAGAAGGAGCAAGTAGAGGAAAAAGAGTGGGTGAGTAGGAGTATGGAACTGGGTGGAGGTGGTAGAAGTGCTGACCATTCAATCTTTTTTGGTCATGGCCAGAGAGTAAAGAGTATATGCTACCTGAAAGGAGGCAGTTAGCAAAGGAGAGGCCTGTGCAGTTATGTCCTAACCATAAGACTGGGAAGATGTGAGAAGGCAATGTTTGTTTTTTCCTAAGCTCCAGGTAGTCTCATCTTACATCAGTGGAATTACTGTTCCCTGGAACATAACTTTATGGGGCACTTATCTAAATAGTTTCGTGCTCACAGATAAGCTACAAAATGGTACAATAAGATTCCTACATAACATTCAACCATATTCTCTAAATGTTAACATTTCACTACATTTGCATTATCATTTTCTATTTTTATTGAGAAATGTTTGAGAAGGTACAGATAGGATACATCTAAAGATAATTCCCAAATCAAGAAATTAATGGTCATGCACTATTATTTGATCCATATACTTTATTTATGTTTTACTAGGGCCCTACTAATGTTTTTTACAGCCAAAAAAAAAAGACTTTTGTTGCATGAGAAAATCCTATATTTAGGATCATATGTTGTGTTTAAGTGTCATGCATCTGGAACAATTTCTTAGTTTTTCCTGAGCTTTCCTTTTTTTACTTGCACTACTAGGGTTTGAACTTAGGGTCTCACACTAGACAAGTACTCTACCACTTGAGCCATTCTTACCAACTCCCCCACACTTTGTTTTGTTTGTTTGTGTATGTGCATAAGGGAGTGTTTTCAAGATAGGGTCTCATGAACTCTTTGCCTGGGCTGGCTTCAAACACTGATCCTCCTGGTCTCTGTCTCCTGAGTAGCTAGAATTCCAGGCATGAGCCAGCAGCGCCTAGCTAAGCTTTACATTTTTGAAGAGTACAGGTTATTTGATAGAATACACCTCAGTTTATTTTATTTTATTCTGATGCTTTCTCCTAATTAGGTTACTCATTATAGGTAAGAATAGCAGGTAATTGTTATCACTGCATGCTGGCAGAGACACAGGTGGTAATTTGTCCTATCAATGTTGGTTTACCACTTGGTAAAGTTAGTTGTCTCTCATGCTTTTCCACTGTAGAGTTTCTGTTTTCTCTCATTAAATGATTATTTTCCATAGCAGGTAGCATTATGACTCATTGAACATGTATCAAAGGTTTTATTAAATTCATGATTAATGAAGGAATCAGTAAGATATATAGCTAGTTCAAAGGAGAATCTAAGTAATAGACACATTTATGGATCAGAATTGTTGATATGTCTTGCAAATACAAATAAAAGTAGCTGCTTCTACAGTCGGCAAGAGAAGTCAGTTGACTCTCCCAGGCATAATCTGTGCCATTGACAAGTTATTTTGTACCAGTATATGTTATAGAGTTGTAAAATAGATCAAAAGCGATGAAAGACTGAAGTCAGATTGTTCTTGTTTTCTAAGTACCAGGGTTTGAACTCAGGGCCTTGTGCTTGTTAAGGGAAGTGCTGTACCACTGGAGCCACACCCCCAGCTCTTTTTGCTTTAGTTACAGGTAGGATCTGTTTTTTTGCCTGAGCTGGTCTGGATTGCGATCCTTCTACCTTGCTGGGATCACAGGCATGTACCATCACACCTGTGTTATTGGTTGAGATGGGGTCTTGCTAACTTTTTATGCAGGCTGGCCTTGAACTTCATTCCTCCCAATCTCAGCTGTCTGAGTAGCGGGAATAGCTGGGGTTGCAGGTATGGGCCACTGAGCCCAGCCTAGAATCAGATTTTTATTTTAGACCAGGTCCAGGAAACTGACCCAAATCCTGCCCACCATATGATTTTGTATAGCTAAGAGTGCTTTTTATAGGTGAATACATGCCAATTGATTTGGTGACAACAAATAGTAAGTTGAACCCCAATTATGTAAATTCTGCCTCTCCACCCTGAAAAAGAGAATTTTACTATTATCTTTAGTAGTCTCTCTCTCTCTCTCTCTCTCTCTCTCTTTCTCACATACACACACACACACACACACACACACAAACACACACACACATACCCCCAATAACCCTAGCTACTCAGAAGGCAGAAATCGGGAGGATCGAGGCTTGAAGCCAGCCAGGGCAAATAGTTTTTGAGACCCTATCTTGAAAATACCTAGCACAAAAAGGGCTGGTGGAGTGGCTCAAGGTGTAGGCCCTGAGTTCAAGCACTGGTATCACAAAAAAAAGTAAATAAATAAAAATCATCAAGTGTTTTTTTTTTTTTTTTTTTTTTTTAATTTTGCCAGTACAGTAGTTGTAGAAAATTTTCATTTATGAGTATTTACATAATTAATTTTGCCTCAACTCACAAAACCTAATACTATCTGTCTAAATAAATAGGCCCTTTTTTTAATCTCTTTTAAAATTTTAGGAACTTTTCACTTCCTAAGAAAATACCATAGCATCAAATAGGTGCAGTGCCTCATTCCTTTTATTTCACTTATTTGGTAATGGAGATAGGAGGATTGCAGAAACAGCCAGGGCAAAAAAGTTAATGAGAGCATATCTTAAAGAACAAGCTGGGCATGGTGTCATGCATCTGTGATCCCAGCTCCTCGGGAGGCAAAGATAGGAGTATCATGTTGCTAGGCCAGCCCAAGCAAAAAGAGCTACAGGCTTTGCTCAAGTGGTAGTAGAGTGTTTGCCTAGCAAACACAAGGCCCTGAGTTCAAACTTCAGTACTGCCAAAAAGGAAAAAGAAAGGACAAAAAGAAATAAAGGAAAAATTATTTATCTTACCAACATAATGACACCAGTGTTTTGTTTTTTGAAATAGTGTCTTGTTATATAGCCCTACTGGCCTCAGACTTTCAGTCCTCTTGCCTCAGCCTCCTGTGGACTGGGAATGTGCACTTCCGTGCCTAGGGTAATACTAGTTTTTAAAATGTTTTGACAGAAACATAGCAGGTGTACAGGAAGTTGTGCCAGGCCCAAGGTGCACATGCTTGTGTGGCTGTGTTCTGATAGCTTCTCAAAGAAGTCTGTGAGTTTTTCCAGCCCTGAAACAAGCTGTGCTACTTGACTGTAGGATCAAGAAAGATTTCTGGGTTGGTGGAGAGGCTCAAGTGGTAGTGGCCTGCACAGCAAGCATGAAGCCCTGAGTTTAAACCTCAGTACCACACACACACACACACACACACACACACACACACACACACACACACACACACACACACACACACACACACACAGTTGAAAAAAGATTTCTGAAATTTCTGTTAATAGAAAATAATTTGCTTTTTTTTTCACGTCATAAATATAAAATCTGACATTTTTTTTTCAATTACGTCTTTATAGTTATAATTAAATTGAGGTTAGAGAACAGACTTAAAACGCGTTTTATATTGTTAAATTCTCTATTCTTAACTGTTACTCGGAAAACAGCATGAGGTAGGTTGTTATGGCAGCTTTTTGGCTAGCATTTAGGACTTTGTCAATTTATTTCTGCTTTAAAACAGCCACTAATTATGGTGCCTGCTAAATTAACCCTCAGTGAGGGGATGACTGCTTGCATATATTAAAACTCTCCTTTTACTTGCTCATCTGTCCCTTGAGATAAAGAGTTTTATTACAGGCTCAGCTTGGATTATGTTTAAATATGGGGAGAAAAATATAAATCTTTATTTTGTAAGAGTAATATGGGAAAAGTAAATTCTATATAAAGAAATTAGAACTGTGAAGTTTAAAAGACATCTATACATGGATTTTTTAAAAATGATTTGCTTCTAGTAAAGTTTTGTAAGCATAACAAAAGGAAAAATATCAATATGTAATTCTCTTGTAATAGAATACAGTACTCCAGTACTCCTTTTCAATATGCCAGGTTCCAGAATAATCCATTTACAGAATCCAAGATCTCTCTCTAGAGAACAAAGGGGAAGTTTGAGTGGTGCTATAGAGCTGGGTTTCGATTCAGAAGAGAGAAAGCAGGCTTACAATGACAGAGAAAGTGTGAATTTCTCTTAGACCCTTGTCGGCAGTAGTAATTCTCCAGCTGACCAAAGTCTTCAAAAATGGATGTTTTGGGACTGGTGATGTAACTGAGTGGTATAGCGCTTGCCCAGCATGCCCGAGGGACCCTGGATTCAACTCCCCAGCACTGAAAATAAGTTGGTGAAAAATGTATGTTTTTAAATTAAATGCCCAACAAGTCTTTATTGAGCTTTGACTCTGCTAGTCCACAAAGGTAGATAAGGCACAGTCTTTCTGTTTTCTGAGAGTCTTTGAGATGCTAATCCCTGTTGAGTAGGGCTCTACTCTGCCTCTTCTTTTCCAGGCCAACCTGCCACTGCTGCAGCGAGAACTGCTGCACTGTGCTCGGGCTGCCAAGCAGACCCCGTCCCAGTACCTGGCCCAGCATGAACACCTTCTGCTCAACACCAGTATTGCATCCCCTGCTGACTCTTCAGAGCTGCTCATGGAGGTTCATGGAAATGGGAAAAGGCACAGTCCGGAGAGGTGAGTAGAAAAGAGATCTGTTTGTTGTTCTTGATTTTTCTGGAATCACTCTGACCTTCTTTCCCTTTGCTTGTGAAAGGAAAGGAATTTGACTGCTGGGGTTGTGGATAGGTAATGCCTCTAGCTTTCCAAGGTTAGTTTTGCTTTATCCCAACAGCTCTTCTCCTTGGGTCCTCTGCTCCTGAAGCAGAGCACTCAGCGTCTATACTCTCAGTTAGCAATGACCAAAATCTGAAGACTTTCCCCCATTCATCAGGCAAGCAGTGTGTTCTAGCAGACACCAGTTGATTGTCTTTCAGTTCTGACAATATCTACCTGGAGATGTAACAGTAGACCCCTGCAGGTACAGGTCCTCAGTCCCAAACAGTTGCCTCCTTTCACATGCCATCCCAAGTCTCAGGTTGTGATTGTGTATACTAGCTGTCCAAATAAATATGCCCCTTTTGTTCCTCCTGACTGTGTTTCTGACTGACCTGTTGCAAATTAGTCTTCCTACAACCCCTCCTCATATTTGATTAATTCATTCCAGTGGCTCACAGAACTCAGGGAAACACTTAACATTTTACTGTTTTTTTTTGTTTGTTTGTTTGTTTGTTTTCCAGCTGTGACCCCAGACAGGATCCAGAGAAGAGTTTTTCAAACTCTTTTCTGGGTGTTACGGAGATTTCCTTTCCCCTTCTGTGTTAGCCTCTTAAGGTACTGCATCCTGTGCCAGTCAGATGATATAGGAAAGTGCCCATTTTGTGGATGTTACACAGTATACTGATGAACACAGGGTGGAAAGATGGAAAGGGGAAGGTATGGGGGAAGGGACACATTGCTGCCCTGCCCTCTCCTGCTAGCTGCATCATCCTCCAGGAGCCTCCACATGTACATGTTCAGCTCTCCAGAAGCCCTTGACCCTGTCCTTTTGAGTTTATGTGGAAGCTTCATTACATGGGTGTCATTGATTATATCTTTGGCCAACTGGTGGTCAACTTAATCCCTCTCCCCTCCCTGGAGATTGGGACTGAAAGTCTCAGTCCTCTAGTCCTCCTCAGTGCTTTAGGTTACCAGCCATCCTGAAGTTATCTAGGAGCAGCCAGCCTTCAGACAGTTCATTAGCACCTAGCACTTTGAAGAGTCCAATGATTTTAGGAATTGTATGCCAGCAAACAGGGTGACAACTAAATATATATTTCCCAGTGGATACAGTGGTGTTCTATGGGTTATCAAGGAAGCAGTATTATTAACAACAGTGGAAATTTCGAATTTTGTTATAGGCAAAGCTGAATGGCTGAAAACCCCATCAAGTCATAAGTGCATTAATTAATGACTCTTTCCAGTAATTCTCCTGCATAGTAACAATGTTGGTTATAAAAACATTCCTAAAGATAATTGAACCCATAATCCTCCATCTTCTTATCATAGGAAAATGCTGTTATCTTCTTAGTTTATGAGGATTAAATAGTTCTGTAATGGATGGGTTTCTCCTCTCTTTATGCTGGAATAAATCAGTAATTTACAATTTGTGCCTGCTGGCCTCTGGAGACAATTTAGTTCATGATTAATGTAAAACTTTTCCTAAGCTGGGCACAGCGGCATGTGCCTAATAGTCCCAGCTACCTGGAGCAGAAGTGGAGGACCACTTAGTTCAAGGCCATCCTGGACAACATACTGAGACCTGTGTCAAAAAGAAAGACAAGAAAGAAAGGGAGGGAGGGAAGAAGGAAGAGAGAGAGAAAGGAAAGAAAGAAAAGCGAATAGCAGGGTGGGAGTGTTTGGCAGCAAATCTTTCTTTAAAAGGGCCAGGGGTGTATGTAGCTCAGTGGTAGAGCGTGTGCTTAGCATGTGGGCCCAGCATCAGTAATAATAATAAGAAATTAAATAAAAACACCTTACTTTATAGTCTTCCTGCTTGGGGAAGTGCATAGAACAATATGTAATAGTGCTCAGAAGTGTTTGCACAAACACTTTTTGACAGGCTTAGATACGCACTTCTGGTTCTTATGCAGGAGGGAAGAGAGCAATTTTGAAAGAGATACACTTCCTTCTGAGCCTCCTGCCAAGAGAGTGTGTACCATCAGTCCTGCTCCTCGCCACAGCCCTGCCCTCACTGTGCCCCTCATGAATCCTGGGGGACAGTTCCATCCTACTCCTCCACCTCTTCAGCATTATACCTTAGAAGATATTGCAACTTCTCACCTATATCGGGAACCTAACAAGATGCTAGAACATCGAGACGTTCGTGAGAGGCACCACAATCTTAGTAAGTGACCTCAGTGATAAAGTCAAATAATAGCATCATTGTTTAGTTTCCTTTTTTTGCTGATAAGATAAAACAATATTATACAACCAAGTGTGGTGGTGCACGTCTGTAATTTTAGCATTCCGGAGGCTGAGGTAGCAGGATCGAGAATGCAAGAACAGCCTGGGCTACACAGCAAGACCCTGTTTCCCAAACAATTATAATGCATAAAAGAGAATATTACAATTGATCCACCTGATAATGAATTCACTTGATATCTTACTGCATCATTATGTGCTAGAAGGACATTATGTATTAAGAAGGAAATGAGAAAGAATAAAATCAACTTTATAAAAATAGCAAAATGAATGCAGTGTTAAATGGAAATCAAAATTGAACAGTTGGAGTCAGGCATGGTGGTACGTGCCTATAATCCCAGTACTTGGAAGGTTGAGGCAGGTGGGTTTTGAGTTCCATGCCAGCCTATGCTACATAATGAGACACTGTCTCCAAAAAAAAAATAGAAAAATTAATCAGTAAATAAATAGGTATTACTTATTCTCAAATGGATCACAACAAAATAAAGAATGAAAAAAGCAAATGACATAAAAATATTAACATTTGAAAAGTATTTGAAAATTCTTTATTCTCCTCTTGTAACTCTTCTGTAAGTTTCAGTTTATCTTAGGATAAAAATGTTAGATTTAAACTAGAAAGATGTAAAATATGTGGTCTTGGAGGTGAAGGAAGTGAGGCATTTCTAAATTTAAACCTTGGCTCTGTATCTAATTAGTTATTGTGATCCCCAGGAAATGGGTTAGGCTTTAGAATAGTTATTTCTAAAATGAAGATAATCCTGCTACTACCTCTGCTGAGCTGTTAGGTTTGGAATGTTTTGAAACACAGGACCTCAATAACTATTAAATTTAGGAAGAAACAAACAAAATCCTAACAAACCAATCTGAGATCAATTTTAGAAAGAACTTTTTGTTGTTTAAGCAGACAAGTTTTCTACACAAGGTTCTTTGGAGTTTTAACTGCTGAACCAAAAGACTATTAACTTCCAGGGTTTCCCATACATTTCTATTGGTGGGATACCCTATGGAGTAAAAAATTGTAACACTTTGTCCTTTTCTCCTCTGACTTAGACTCACTGTATCTTTCAGAGGCTTAGATCTCAGTGGGCCACTGGCTTCATGCAGTAGTGAAGTCTATGAGAGCAGTGGTCTTCTCAGCCCCCAGCCTTTACTGAGTCTCAGTTACCATTACATTATCTCATTTAATCCTACCCCACATAAGTCACAGGCCATTGTTATCTCCTACAGTATAAAAAGAAATTATAAAAGGGTGTGATGGTACATGCCTATAATGTCAGCTAGACCAGAAGCAGAGGTAGGAAGATCCGGATCCAAGGGCAGGCCATGGCAAAAAAGCATGAGATTCTTTATGAAAAAATAAACTAAAAGCAAAAGGGCTAGAGTTATGGCTCAAGTGGTGGAGTGCTTGCCTAGCAAATGCAAGGCCCTGAGTTCAAACCCCAGCACCACCAAATAAATAAATAAATAAATAAATAAATAAATAAATAAATAAATAAATAAATAAATAAATAAATAAATAAATAAATAAATAAATAAATAAATAAATAAATAAATAAATAAATAAATAAATAAATAAATAAATAAATAAATAAATAAATAAAAATAAAAAAGGAAGGAAGGACTATAACATGACTGTGGCCCAAATCACCTAGCTTATGAATGGTGATGTCAAAATTCAGATCCATGCCGTCTGGTGCCCAGAGGTTGGGTGCATTGCTGGGATATGATGATGCCCACCTACCTAGCATTCTGTCTTTATTCCCCCATGCTTCTTTATCTGCTTTTTATACCTGTAATCCCAGCAGTTGGGAGTTTGAGGCTAGCCTGGGCTACATAATGAGAAAACAACTCAAAAACAACTACTCCCCCCAAACAAAAAAGTATTTGAAAACTAGCTATAATTGTATTTTATCAGATTTTACTTGCATTTCTAACAATTTTAGGAAAAGTTACTTTTCCATCTTGGAGTATACTTTGAAGAACTGTTGGATCATCTGCTTTGACAACTCAATCATTTGTCTGCTAGGCTCATTACAGGTTCCTTAATTTTTGACCTGTTTGAAAACATATGCCATTTTATAATGGTTCTCAACCCTTACCAAACCATCAGGCACCACCCCCTCTTAAACAAATACATCGCCCCCTTTGCTCTCCCAAAATTAAATATATGGATTCTATAATTTACCTTAGATCTATAATTTTAGGATCAATATTCTACTCTAACTGCAATGTATAATAAAGTACTTAACGAAATAAGTTAGTGCAAATGTATACTACAATATATGAAAAAAGCAAACTTTTGCACTGACACAGAATCACTTCTAAATACAACACTTGAAAATGAGAGTGACAAAAGGAATATTGTATTAATGATTCAAAGGACTGAACAGTGTCTCCATATATTAGTTTTTCAAAAAATGATCAACTCTTGAATCAGCGTACCCTTGATTTACCCAGAGTTACTGCATTCTAGAAATTTGGTATATATTAAATGGTGATTTCATATTGTATCACATTTGCCCACACTTAGTATTATCTGACATTTTAGTTTTTCTACTAAATTGGATGTGAAATGCTATCTCAATGAAATATTTGTATATGTGACTACTTATAAATTTTAGTATCTTTGTGTTTATGAACTATCTGTACTTTCTTATCTGAGGTGTAACCCATTTATTTCTTTTGCCTCTTTTTCTTTTGGGGTTTTTGTCTTTCACAGTTGATTTGTTGGAGTGGACACCCTCCCATCTTCCACCGCCACCCCTTCTACCCCTCTGCTAGAGATCAAACCCAGGGCCTAGTGCAGACTAGGCAAGCATTCTCCCATCTAGCTCCACCTCCAGTTCCAGGAGTTCTTTAATCTGAATAATAATCCTTTGTTGGTTTTGTCATTTTGTGGATCCCACACCCTATTATGAGTCATTCCCTTAGTAGCATGTTCTTATTTGGTAGGGATGTGTGTATTTACTTATAAATTTTGGTTCTTCTGTATTCTTCCTATTAACTTCAAATTTAATCTCTAATTTCTAATAGGTCTAAATGGAGGCTATCAAGATGAGTTGGTAGACCACCGTTTGACAGAAAGGGAATGGGCTGATGAATGGAAACATCTTGACCATGTAAGAATCTTAGCATGTTCAATTTCCCTCACTCTTAAGTATTCTTAAATCTTAATATTACCAACAGATTACATATGCTTCAAAATGAACATAAGAAGAGCCATGACATCCTTTCCTTTTAACAAAAGCTGGTTTATCCACTACTCACTCAGCTGGAGAGCTACATAGTCACTCCCAAATGTTGGTGGTGGGATGATCTCTTCGTAGTAAGTGGATAAAGTAAAAGCCTGTGAGTTCAGGTCCAGCTTTGCACTTTTGCCTTTGTGAGCTGGATAACTTGCTTTAGGTCTTTAGCTTCAGCTTGCTAGGCAGGTGCTCAACCACTTGAGCCACACCCCTTCTCAATTGTTGTATCTTTAAAGAAAAAGAGAAGGGGCATTATTGAATTCACAGGAGGGTTGTAATAATATATAAGGTGCTTGACACAAGGTCTGGTGCATAGAAAGTTAAATAAACAGAGTTCTGCAAATACACTGGTACAGAATATAAGCTCAAGTTCTCTTTCTCATTCAGCGAAGTTCCCTCTCTAAAAAGGGAAGAAAAGGGCTGGAGGTTTGTGTGGATTAAGTGGTAGAGTACTCAACCAAAGGCCCTGGGTTCAAATGCCAAAAAGGAGAATTAAAAAGAAAATAAAAAAGGACAAAAAGATGTAGTGACAGCTTGAAATTTGCATGTAGTACTCTTTCTTTCTGTCTTGCTCTCTCTCTCTCTTTTTTTTTGGTGGTGGGAATATAACCCAGGGCCTTGTGTATGCTACAGAAGTGCTTTACCAGCTGAGCCACATCCCTACCCTCCATTGTTCTTATAGGGTATTGATTGTTCAGTTCATCAAGTGAAAATTAGCTCCTTTGAACTTGGGGCTTCCCACTTGCAAATAGGTGCTCTACTGCTTGAGCCATACGTCCGGTTCATTTTGCTCTGGTTATTTTGGAGATGGGGTCTCTTAAACTATTTGCCCGGAGTGGCCTCGAACCACAATGTTCCTGATCTCAGCCTCTCAAGTAGTTAGGAATTCAGGCATGAGTACCTGCACGCAGCAGCTTTTTCTCCTCCTCCTCCTCCTCCTCCTCCTCCTCCTCCTCCTCCTCTCCCCGCCCTTCTTCTTTTTTCCCCAGGGGAACTGGGGTTTGAACTCAGGGCCTCTCACTTGCTAGGCAGGCACTTTACCACTTGATATTCCACCAACCCAGTTTTTAATTCCTGAGCGATAATTTTCGTTGGTCCATATTTTTCAACGTTGCATTATTTATTATAAAAATTTCTAGCTTTATCAGATGATTTGGTATATTTAGGCAGAGATTTACTGTGGCTTAACCATAGTCTTTAAAGAATCATCTAAACAAAAAATAATAATAGAAGACCATGTTATAATTAGATTGTATGGCTGCTTTAACCTTGAAGAACCCAAAAAGCATTATTTTGAAATTGAAAAAGGAAGTCATGTTCTGCATAATGACCTTTCAGTTAATGACACACCACATTTATGAACTTGATAGCACAGGATATATCCCCGCGTACCGTCACAGCTGCTTAGTTGTTGTAAGTACTCTTATAATGTTCACACAGCAAAGGAAATTGCCAATGATGTACTTCTCAGCGCCTGTCCCTTTTGTATAAAACAACATGCTTGTAATTTAATTGTGTGTGTATAGTTGGCTCTCTGATCCACAGATTTCACATCCTGGTTTTGGGTAACCTGACAGTTTTAACCAGCTATGGATAGGAAATATTCAAACAAATAATGCATCTGTGCTGTTCATTACAGACCTTTTAAAAATCTTGTCATTATTCCTTAATGACAAACATGACAACTTCTTTCATAGCATTTGCATTGTGTTAGTAAGATAAACAATCAGAGGTAATTTCCAAGTATATGGAGGAATGTGACATAAGTCATATGCAAATGCTACACTATTTTAGATGAGGGCTTGAAGCCTGGCACATCGTTCCACGTGTAACCCTAGCTTCTTGGGAGGCTGAGTTCAGGAGATTACACTTCAAGCCAGCCAGGCAATTAATTAGGGAGCCCCACTCCAAAATAACCCAAAACAAAATGGACGGATGTGTGGCTCAAGTGGTAGAGTGCCTACTTGCAAAACACAAAGCCCTGAATTCAACCCCAGTCCCACTGAAATTAAAAAAAAAAAAAAAGTAAAAAGGGACTGAGTATTTGTGACTTTTTGATGTCCATTAGGGTCCTGGAGAGCAATCCCTGTGGATTATTGAAGGCGGACTGTTATATATTTAATTAGAATGTGTAACAACTATAAGCAACTTATCTTTGACAAAGGAGCTAAAAATATACGATGGAGAAATAGCAGCCTCTTCAACAAAAACTGCTGGGAAAACTGGTTAGCAGTCTGCAAAAAACTGAAACTAGATCCATGTATATCACCCTATCCCAAGATTAACTCAAAATGGATCAAGGATCTTAATATCAGACCCCAAACTCTTAAGTTGATACAAGAAAGAGTAGGAAATACTCTGGAGTTAGTAGGTATAGGTAAGAACTTTCTCAATGAAACCCCAGCAGCACAGCAACTAAGAGATAGCATAGATAAATGGGACCTCATAAAACTAAAAAGCTTCTGTTCATCAAAAGAAATGGTCTCTAAACTGAAGAGAACACCCACAGAGTGGGAGAAAATATTTGCCAACTATACATCAGACAAAGGACTGATAACCAGAATATACAGGAACTTAAAAAACTAAATTCTCCCAAAACTAATGAACCAATAAAGAAATGGGCAGTGAACTAAACAGAACTTTCTCAAAAGAAGAAATTCAAATGGCCAGAAAACACATGAAAAAATGCTCACCATCTCTAGCAATAAAGGAAATGCAAATTAAAACCACACTAAGATTCCACCTCACCCCTGTTAGAATAGCCATCATCAGCAACACCACCAACAACAGGTGTTGGCGAGGATGCGGGGAAAAAGGAACCCTCTTACACTGTTGGTGGGAATGTAGACTAGTACAACCACTCTGGAAAAAAATTTGGAGGCTACTTAAAAAGCTGGACATCGATCTACCATTTGATCCAGCAATACCACTCTTGGGATATACCCAAAAGACTGTTACTCCAGAGGCACCTGCACATCCATGTTTATTGCGGCACTATTCACAATAGCCAAGTTATGGAAACAGCCAAGATGCCCCACCACTGACGAATGGATTAAGAAAATGTGGTATCTATACACAATGGAATTTTATGCAGCCATGAAGAAGAACGAAATGTTATCATTCGCTGGTAAATGGATGGAATTGGAGAACATCATTCTGAGTGAGGTTAGCCTGGCCAAAAGACCAAAAATCGTATGTTCTCCCTCATATGTGGACATTAGATCAAGGGCAAACACAACAAGGGGATTGGACTATGAGCACATGATAAAAGCGAGAGCACACAAGGGAGGGGTGAGGATAGGGAAGACACCTAAAAAACTAGCTAGCATTTGTTGCCCTTAACGCAGAGAAACTAAAGCAGATACCTTAAAGCAACTGAGGCCAATAGGAAAAGGGGACCAGGAACTAGAGAAAAGGTTAGATCAAAAAGAATTAACCTAGAAGGTAACACCCACGCACAGGAAATCAATGTGAGTCAATGCCCTGTATAGCTATCCTTATCTCAACCAGCAAAAACCCTTGTTCCTTCCTATTATTGCTTATACTCTCTCTACAACAAAATTAGAAATAAGGGCAAAATAGTTTCTGCTGGGTATTGGGGGGGGAGAGGGAGGGGCGGAGTGGGTGGTAAGGGAGGGGTGGGGGCAGGGGGAGAAATGAACCAAGCCTTGTATGCACATATGAATAATAAAAGAAAAAGGAAAAAAAAATAATTAGAATGTTAGAAATTTCAAATGTTAAACTTTAATTCCTTAAAAACTGCTGAAATATACGATCTTTTGAGGGTTGAGACTGGGTTTGAACTCAGGCTTGAACTTACAAAGCAGGCACTCTATCATTTCAGCTGGTGCGACCTTCATTTTTATACTTTGTTTGTCCTTGATTTTTAGCGTTCATTGTTTGAATTTCCTCATCTCTATCGGCCTTTCTCTCTGGTTCAGGCCCTGAATTGCATTATGGAAATGGTAGAGAAAACAAGGCGCTCCATGGCAGTTCTGAGGCGCTGTCAGGAATCTGATCGTGAAGAACTCAACTACTGGAAAAGACGATTTAATGAAAACACAGAGATGAGGAAAACAGGACAGAGGTTTGGTCTCCAGCAGCACAAGCCCTTGGAATGCAAGGATTCTCTCAGCATGGTTTAAGGATGAGTCTCAATTGTGAGTTCCAGAATTTGAACTAGCCTTTGGGGTTTCCACCATGGTAAATCTGGGGTTGATTGGTTTCTTTTTGGAGACAGATTCTTGCTGGTTTGTAGTCCCAGCTGACCTCAAACTCTCAATCCTGCATCAGCCTCCCGAGTACTGGGATTCTAGTTGTGTGTTACCACACCCAACCAGAAAAAGTCAGTTTACTTTAAAGGAAGGTAGTGCTCAATTGTGGAGTTGGGGAGTCTTGGTGGTTATGAAGGAATAAAACAAAAAAATACATGAAGCACTGTATATTCCAAGAACTGTTATTTCCTATGGAGAATTGAGAATATGTGTGGTTTAACAAATGTTTCTGTCCCTACGAGAAGGAGGAGGATGGATATAAATACATGCACGCACACACAGAGGCATGTGATCAAAAGAGTGTTTAGCTGTTAAAATTCAGCCTGGCTGAATATACTACCCTGTCAAGAAAAAGTGTTCTATTTTCCTTTTGCTCTCACAGCACAATCAACACAGTAGTTCTGTGAACCCAAAAGGTTCCGGATTTCTCTCACCAACAAGCAATCCTGGAGCAGTAGAAACCATATAGGTATGACGTGAACCTTCTAAGTCCACATCCGTTTTGATACTGTCTACGTGAAAGTACTGTCAGATCCCACCAATTTGGGACTCATTTCCCATGACTTCCTCCTTTTGTATTTTAGATGCATTTCCCACTTCTTTCAAATCAGGGTCCACTAACTCTTCCCTCCAAGCTCAGAGAAGTAGTTAATTGGCTCACAAAGCTGCAGCTGATTTACCAGGTTTATTATTTAAGGATCCAATAGAAAGGTATGGGAGAGGGAGCATGGCACCTTCCATGCCATCTGTTTATGGACCTGCACCTTCCAGGAACTCCACATATTCAGCTAACCAATCAGATGCTTTCTGAAAACTGTCTTTGGGTTTTATGGAAAATTTCATTGCATATGTAACGTTCACTAGACGTGATGGGAACCCACAGAGCTCTGTGTTTCAACGTTCTTGGCTTCTCTTTGCCAAGCATTCCTGTAGGTCAGGTATTGAAGCAGGAGTTCTATGGAATGAAGGAAAGCTTTATGACTTATTATTCATGCAGGATAGGTTAAAGGAATTTTTGATTTAGCCAGCTCCATGACAGAAGAGTGAGAGAAATCTAGTTTCTATAGTCTGCCTTGGGGAAGGACTTAAAAACAGAAAGCTGGGGTGAAAACCACAATATTGAGCTGCCAGTGTAGTCAGTGCCCTACCATGTACAAAGCCTGGGTTCAGTCTCAGGCACTGACTAAAAAGCGAAGAAAAAAAAATGGGTACTATAAAAATCACAGCTAGGCATTCTGGGTGTCATCAACTTTTATGTCCTCATTATAACATCATTTTGCCTTTACTGTTTTCCGCCCATTTCCCACTTGCCTTTCAAAGTAGGAGGCCTATAAGCTGGTTGTCCTGTCTTTGCTGTTTCCAAGCCTAAAGCAAGCCAAGACAAGACCTTAATCCATGAAGGCCAGAGTATCCCCCAAAATTTCCATCACTTTCTTTCTTTCAGTTTCTTTCACTTGAAAATGTGCCTGATGTAAAGGGACAAGCTGAGATGATGGGCCATCTGTGATCACACTTTCTCACCCACCCACTTAAGTTCCCAAATGGTTCATTCAGGAGAATGAATTTCTTATTAACAGGACCTAGCATTTCTACAGAGAGAGCTATTAGTCTCCAAAAAAGACTGCAGAAAAAATTTGAGGCAAAGCCAGAATTAATATCATATGTCCAATTCTTAAGTTAGCTAGATCCCACTCTCCCACATCCCACCCACAGGCTGGGGTCTTGGCGGCATAGCTTTACCACCATTTTATGTAAGGATGTCTAGTACAGCAGAAATCAAAATATTTACCTGTGATTCCTTTGATAAAAATCTTCAAAAGAAGACAGAGCTAATTCTCCACATCTCCATTTTACATTCTCATCCCTTTCAATATTCTCTATAACAATTTCACCAAGTTCACCATTCCAAACCACATAACTTCCCTCAGTGGTCTGCCTGTCGTGCAGGTGAGTGGCCGTTAATGGAGGCGAAACACTGCTTGTGCCTGGCCACTAGTCTTCCTTAACATCCCGTACTGACAGTTCGCCAGGGTGACCATACTTCTGATTTACCCGCCAACAGTCCTGATTTATACTGTGTCCTATCATAATTATCACTAGTGGCTTCATGGATCCTGGTATCCTTCCATCAGTCTTTCTGGGCACTATATCCTGTCTGATTTAAATTTGTATCATGTATATGTTTATAATGTGCATTATATGTAAAATGTTATTTCTTTTGTATGGCATGCATTTCATTTAGTTGTGGGAAGGGAGGATGCATAAAATTTAATATTTAAAGAAAACATGCTATTTCAAAATGTAGACTAAAACTAGCTGTTAAACTGCAGCTAGGTCATTTTAGTGTGGAAGGGAGAGCATAATTAATATTCTAAAGAACCATGCTATTCACAAATGTAAGATAAAACTACTGTAAAACTGCAGCCTAGTCAGTAATGAAACAATAAAGGACTGCAGCCAGAAGGTATTTGGCCCTGTCACGGTGTATTGGGCACCATTTTGCTTTCAATCAAAGAAAGGCTTCCTATGAAGGAGTAACTAGCTGAGCTTGGTGGTCATGTCTTGTATACCCAAGCAGACGAGAGAGGCTGAGGGAGAAGGATCACCAATTCAAGGCAGCGGTTAAGCTATCTATAAGACCCTGCCTCAATATAAAGGGCTAGGGATATAGCTCCATGTAGTGGCCGCTAGCAGGTGTCACCAAGCCTGGGTTCAATCCAAACCCCAGAAGTGGAAGAAGGGGGAGGGAGAAACTGAGAAAAGAGGCAGAAATGGAATTCACAAACAGCAGCTTTTCATGGGAAAGAAAATTTCAAAAAACACTATTAATGTCCGTGGAGCAAAAAGAAAACTAAAAGATCCATGGGCTGGAGGCATGGCTCAATGGTAAAGTGCTTGCAGCTCAAACCTTGGTGCTGCCAAAAAAAACCAAAATCCAAATAACTTATACTCCAAACCATAAGTCCACACAAGCAGAGAAGATGAAGTAATTCCAACAAATTGCCAAGAACTGAAAGGCAGATTTCTAGGATGAACCAGCCTCCCATACTGTGTTGTTTACTTAGTAGTATGATGGTGGGGGGAACCACCACTTAGCCACTTAAGGCTAAGTCATTTAGCCTTACTAAAAGTTAGAAGACCATTTGAAGGAAAGCTACTTTAGCAAAATTCCTGTACTTTTCTAAAACAGTTTAGTTTTAGATTAACAGCCCTCAATTTTTGGAAAAATGCACCTGCTGTTCACACTTTCTCCAGGTGGCTACTGGAGAATATACTTTAGTACATGAAAGTAAACCAGAAAGTAGAGAGTGGACTTGATGACAGGCATCCAACTAAGAAAGAAACAAGAAGGAGTTCCTGGGACAGTGAAGGAAAACCCTAAAGCAATAGCAGCAAAGCAAGCCCAGAAAGTCCTAGTTCACACTGGAATTGCTCAAAAGCCTGCTGGAGAGTTCCTAAAAAAATGAAGTTTAGAAAGTACTTATAATAGGAGGAGAGTTTGAGATTGAATCAGAAATAATTACATAAGAAACAGCACTTGAATAAACTAGGCAATTTTAAGTTTTTATTAGCATATAAGTAATTGTACAGAGGTGATACATTGTGCAACTTATATGCTATACTTCAATGTATCTTAGATTCACCCTCCATCATTCTCCCTCCTCCTCCCATTGAAAAGCAAAGTAAGTAAAGCCAAGAAAAACAGAAACTTGTTTAGGACAAATAGGTAAAAGAATGCCTAAGACGAGAGCCACCTGACATAGCTATGATTTGCATTTACTACAGTACTGTAAATGACTATTGATGTCACAGAATTAGGGTATATCTACTGGGAGAATGAAGGAAGGAAGTGTAAATAGAGGAAGTTTTGTGCCATGACCATAGCAAGTCAAAGGTAATCGACTGCAAGTGAAAAGCAAGATGTAGCAGTAGAAAGTAACAGCTACATGGGAGGCAGAGGTAAGAAAACTGCAGTCCCAGCCAGCCCCGAGCACAAAAATATGAGATCCTGTCCAAAAAATGCCTAAAAGCAAAAAAAGCTTTGGAGGAAGTAGATCAAGAGGTAGAGTAGCCTGCCTAGCAAGTGGGAGCCCTGCAATTTCAAACCCCAAGTCTCTAGATAGATAGATAGATATAGATAGATAGATAGATGATAGTAGGTAGGTAGATATAGATAGACAGACAGACGACAGACAAAATTTAAAAAGCTCATAGGTGATATTATTCAGGTAACTGAACAATATTAAATTACCTTAGTTTTTATACTTTTTTATCAATAGAACCATATCTATAAAATACTGTATCTTATAATAAAATAATAATAAATTGAGTCACCCTCCACCCCTGGGTCCTTCCCAACTGACCACAGGGGTGCCTCTTTGGGGTTAGTGCCACTTCAATCTGAGTATTAGTTTAGTTTGTAAGTATTTTAAGAAACTTTAATGGGAACTACTTTAAATCACATACAGAAGATTGGAGATTTGGCATTGTCCAGAAAACAAAACCTATATTTCCTAACATTACAGAGACCTGTGCATGATAGGACAGGTAATTGGACATGAATATACATTTATATTTTAGGAATAATTTAAAAACATATATACACTTGGATGTAATTGGGAGGAAAATCAGAACACATAGATAAGTGAAAAGAAGAAAAGTACAATGTTAATCTCACTCTTTGAAATGCTCTGATATTTGAATGCAAGTATGTGGTTGAGGGAGGAGGTTTTTTTTGTTTTGTTTTGTGTTTTGGTGGTGCTGGTGTTTGAACTCAGCTAGACAGGCACCATACTACTTGACTACTCCACAGTGAGTATGTGTTTGAAAAATAAAAATTAAGTGGAAGTGTGAAACGCAGTGATAGCAATTGCCTAGCATGCCCAAGACCTGGGATTGGATCCCCAGCACCATGATAAATTAGGCCTAGCAGGTAGGTAGGTAGATGGATGGATGGATGGATAGATAGATAGAATACTATTTCCCAATCTGATGTTAGCCCTTATTCAATTTTTTTTGTTTTGGTTTTGGTTTTTGTTTTGATGGACTAGGGTTTTGGTTTTGGGGTTTTTTGTTGTTGTTTGAGGGAGGGACTAGGGTTTGAACTCATGGCTTTGCACTTGCAAAGCAGGTACTGTACCACTTGAGTCATGTCTCTAGTCCATTTTGCTCTGGTTATTTTATTTTATTTTTTCTGCTACTGGGGTTTGAACTAAGGGCCTCACATTTGCTTGGCGTGCCCTCTACACTTGAACCACTCCACCAGCTACAGATTAGGGTTTTGAAGTTGGGGCCTCATGCTTGCTAGGCAAGCTTTCTACCACTCGAGCCACTCCACCAGCCCTTTCTTATGTTAGATATTTTTGATATAGGGTCTCACGAACTATTTGCCCACACTGGCCTCAACCTAGATCCTCCTGATCTCTGCCTCCTGAGTAGCTAGGATTATAGGCATGTGCCACCAGTGCCTGGCTAACTATTCATACTTTTTGCACTAAATGAACATACATGTGTAAGTCTAAGTGATGAGTGAAAAGTCTTAATTTTTTAAAAAATTATGTGTTGGGGCTATAGCTGTAGCTCAGTGGTGTAGGGTACTTGCCTAACTTGCATGAGGGGCCTGAGTTTGATCCCAGCTTCACAGAAACAACAACCAAAAAATTCCATCTTTTTGCTTATTTGTTTCATAAAGAAAACCCCTGATTATCTGCAGAACTCTTCTGCAGAAGAGTTTTGTAGAATAATATCTATGTCATTAGATTTTATACACGCACACACACATACATGCTTTATATCATACTTAAAACTTTTAGAGAGGAAAGATAGATTGGGTAATGGTCAGGAAGAATTTCAACTTCATCTGTATAGTTAACATCTTTATAAGAAGATACTGATGTACTGAATATGTTAGCTGAATGAGTAGTACCTATGATATATGTACCTAAATATATCACAGTCTCAAACATCTTTCCCTAAAAAAAAAAAAGAAAACCCCTGATTAAAGACAGTTTCTGAATCTTTGTTCTTTATTTCAGATTCTCAGCGGGAATTCACCAGTAGGCCAGGAACAGGATATGTACCTGTGGAGTTTTGGAAGAAAACAGGTATGTGTCTGCTCGTAGGCTTCATGTACTCCCTAGTTCGTGCAGACTGGGAACATATACTGGGGGAAAGACTGGTAACTCGCTCTTTGGTTATTTAATAACTTCCTCCTCATGAAGCTCTTCACTAGTGCTTCTCCTCCTCCTCTGGCTGATGGCTCCCTCTAGTCCCTTTTACACCCTTCTACTGGGTTACACTGAGGCATGAACTATCCAGCTCTTCCCTCCATTTTAATCAGGCAGAATTAATTTCTGCCTAATTTCCTCACTAGCATAATTCAGTGCATTCACACTGCTCTTGGCACAGATCTTAAACCCCTCTTTTCTTTCACTTTTACTATATCTTACTCAAGACTGTTCTTGGGGCTGGTGGAGTGGCTTAAGTGATAGAGCACCTGTGTAGTAAGTGTGAAGCCCCTGAGTTCAAACCCCAGTGCCACCAAAAGAAGACTGTTCTTGGCCTAGGGGTGTAACTCAAAGGTAAAGCAAAGCATTTGTTCAGCATGTGTTAGGCTCTGGGTTCAATCCTCGGCACCACGAGAAAAGTACCACCAACAGTGATTACATGCAGATTCTTCACTCATGTTTTTGAAGATTCCTGTCCAGAGCAAATGGTCCAGACTGAAACACAATTTGTAAATATAAGAATAATGTTTTTAGGTCTGAGAGTGTAGCCCAGTGGTAGACTGCTTGCCTAGCCTATGCAAGGGCCTGGATTCAGTCCCCAGCACTCACCCTTCCACCAATAAAATACACCCTTTTTTGTATATTCTGGGGACAAGGGAGAGGCAACCTGAAAAATGCCCAAATGTCAGTGATTAGTTATGTTACATAGTTTGATGCCATAATATATTTTACCTAGACAAACTATATGCAGTTGGAAATGAGGAAATGTATGTTCTATTGATAACTGGAGTAGAATTGTGGGAAGTAAAGATAATTGTAAGGTAGTGAGAATGATTACCATGTACACAATCTCCTTGAAAGTAGTGAATGATTACTCAGGAGGTACCTTGTTTAACTGTGGTTAAAGGCTCAACTTTGATGTTGGGCCAGCTTTGTCCAAGTCCTTGTTCTGCTATAGTGCTACCTGTTACTTTATTTTTCTAACTTTTTTTTTTTTATATAGTGGTACTGGGGCTTGATCTCAGGCCTTAATGTTGGTTAGGCAGGTGCTGTACCACTTACTTGAGCTACTCTGCCAGCCCGCTCACTGTTACTTCAGATGACCTTTGTAAGATAGATATCCAAACCATAATTCTTAGAGTCATCCTTAAGCTGTGAGGATCCTTTAAGTATCCTTAAGCTTAAAATGTACCTGAGAACATGGTTCTGTTGACTTAGTAAGAAGCACTCAACACCTACCTGACATCTAGTAGACACTATGAAGGTAGCTGTAGTTGGCCACAAGGGGTCTGGAGTTTTTAGCCTCTGGGTGAAGACTTTCTTAAGGCTGGAGCAATAAGATGAAAAGTTCTAGCATAGCAGCCTAAAACACTGTTTAAACTTCCTCTGAGTGTGTGCTATGTTTAAGAGCCAAGCTAGAAGAAGAAGGTTCCTTGGGCGTCTGTGTCATGTAGTCTGTGGACTCATGTGAAAAGTGGATCACATTCACATTCTCATTTGACTGAGGCCAAAACTTAAGCGATCCCAGGATCCTGGCAGTCTGCCCAAGTCTGGATATCTAGCCCATGTTTCCCTACTGTCTCATGTATCTAATTGTCCTTTGGTTGTTTGTACCTGGACACCTTGGGAGACACCTAAACCATCCTGCCTCCACTCCAACTGTTTGTGTATTACCCATTCTCATTGCATAACACTGCCTTTCTCCTCCTTTACCTTCACTTCCAGACTCTTCCTCTGGCTCTTCCCCTCTTGGATACTCTTTGTTCCTTCCTAAACTTGCAGCCTCTTCTCTCAGCTGGATCACTGCCTCAGCCTTCCAGCACTACCTTTTCTCCTTGTATAGAACCCTCCAGGGGCATTAAACTTCTTTAGAAAACAAGCCAAATAAGGCATGCAAGGCTTTTTCTAAAGACTCATTTCTACCTATCATCTCAACCAGACCACATTTCCCTTGGAACTGTAGTCTCACACTGACAAATCAAATGGCACCAAAGTTGCTGTCAAACTCGGTTCTATACAGGAGAATAGCCCCAGCACAGTGCCTACTTTCATGTGCACACCCAGTAAACGATTGCATGAATGGACAAGTGATTTTAAGCCTAAGTGTGAATGTATGTATCATGTTCACCCTGAACACCTTGTTTTCACTTTGTCCTTTCTTAGAAATGCTATGGGGTAGGAGGGAAATGATTTCTTGGCCAGTTGATTTTACTGTCACTTTCTTCTAGAAGAAGCTGTGAATAAGGTGAAAATTCAGGCCATGTCAGAAGTACAGAAGGCTGTTGCTGAGGCAGAACAAAAAGCCTTTGAAGTGATTGCAACAGAGAGAGCACGAATGGAGCAAACCATAGCGGATGTTAAACGACAGGCTGCAGAGGATGCCTTCCTTGTCATCAATGAACAGGAAGAGTCGACCGAGGTCAGAGTTCTGCTAAGCTGTGGGCTGGGCTGCAACTGAGTGAGCAAGCACTGGGAAGTAAGACAGAGTCCAGGGCTGGGTTGTGGCTCAAGTGGTAAAGTGCTTACCTAGGGAGCATGAATGCTCCACTCTTGAACTAGGCAATTAGGATTTTTAGCTAGTGCCAGGCTCTTTTACACACCAAGATAATAAATTATTCTATTGTATTCCTATATATATTGGCTCATTATATTGGTTAAAATTTTGAAAATTTACCCTAAAGGCAGAGTTCATGTCATTGCAGAATGATGATGACCAATAACTGAGTGGGCTCATTGTGTACCTGACACCCAACTATGTATGTATGTTTCTTCTTTGGTCCTCCCAGTGACCCTAAAAGGTAGACATTGTTGATTCTGTCATTTACAGTTGAGAATACTGGCATAGGGAATTTAACTGACATAATCCCACAATTCTGAAAGCAGGAACAAGAGTAAGAAAATCAAAGTCCTATGACATTTAGTCTCTTTACAAATAAAGGATAGCTTTTTATGGGTTACGGGTGACAGATCAGTCTGACATGCCCAGTGCCGAGCCTGGCCCCAGGACTTGGTGATGCTTCCATACAATGAGGAAAAAGCATGTGTCAGACACACTGTAACAGTTCCAACAGTACTTTTGAATTTAATGAAATTTTTCTGTAGTTTTCATTTTAGTCATTTTTCAGGCTTGAAACTTAAGCTTGCTTCTCTAACTAGGGAGTTCCCATCTGCTAGTTGGGAGACCACCTGTCTCTGGAACATTGTCTTGAAATTAAAAGTTCTTTTTTTATTTTGTTCTTTGCAGTGCTGGGGATCAAACTCAGAGCCTCCTACATACTATGCAAGTGTTCTAACACTGAGCTACACCTCCAACCCTGTGTTGTTTTTTAAATAAACAATTTTATTTTCACATACTTGAATGATCCACTTGAGTATGGTGATGCCAAGCATGGCAGTATGAAAACAAAAATGCCCGTACATCATGTGGCCATCATAGAGGATGTGGTAAAATGCCTTCTTGTGGCAATCCAAAAGACGCTATGAGTGTGACACATAGTTCCCTTTAAGCTTCCCCTATTCTTTATTCCTTCCTACTTTTTCTGTAGAATTGTTCTGTTTTGTTTTGTTTGAGATAGGATCTTGCTGTGTACTCATGCCAGCCTTGAACTCCCGATCCTCCTGCCTCAGCCTCCTAAGCGCTAGGATTACAGGCATGCCCCTCTACGCCCAGTTTGTTGAATTGTTTTTGTTTTTTGTGGTGCTGGAGATCAAACTCAGGGCCTGTGCATACTTGGTAAGCACTCTACCACTGAACCACATCCCTAGCCCTAATCTATGTTTGTCTTTAACAACATCTGTCTCTAAAGAAGGAATGTGGCTTTCAGCTAAGAGCATGAGTTCTTTTTTTTTTTTTTGGCTGAGACATTTATTTCAATATCAAAGGGCAGATCAATTCATTCTGACTCCTCAGAATTTCAACAGAGTGATTTATGGACAGTTCCTGACCTGGAATCACAAGGGGCTGCTGTGGACACAGGAGGCCGAGCCCAATTCTCACTTTGCTTCTTTAGCCTTTAGAAATGAAAAAAGAATCAGATTTAAAAACATTAAAAAGCTGATCTTGTCGGCAAAAGGCAGACGCAGGCTCTTTCCCAACCAGAGCATGAGTTCTGAATCTAGACTGCATGGATTCAAATCCCAGCAGTCCATTTATTAGATTGACTTTTAAAAGAAATGTAATTTTGTGGGTTTTTTGTTTATTGGTTGGTTTTTGTTTTGTTTTGTTGGTGGTACTGGGGTTTGAACTCAGGGCCTTGTACCTACTAGGCAAGCATTCCACCACTTGAGCCATGTCAACAGCCTAAGGAACTATGATTTTAAACCATGCACAAAGTGTCCTATAGGTGAGGTACACACCAGCATCTTTCTCAGCAAACTTGCTTTCCAAAACCAGAGAAATGTAGGGCCTAAACTTTTGGAGTTGCTTGAACCAGATGGGCTAATTCTCTTCCATTTCATCCAGAAAATTCTCCTGAACATTTAGCAGGTATCCCTTCAGTTTCTTTTTCTGTTTGGAGGTAAAGGGGCTTGAACTCAGGGTCTCAAACTTGTTAGGCAGGTATTCTACCACATGAGCCACTCCACCAGCCCTTCGGTTTCTTCTTTATCTTATGAGTGCAGGAGAAGGAGCCTAGAGATGAGGAAACCTGCATTCTAGTCCCTCTTTCTACTTACACTGGCAGTCCACCCTTAAGGAGTTATCTTCATTTTTAGTATAGTAGATGTAGCAGCCCCTGTGCTACTGGCCTGATAGGTTTTGGGGGCGGGGAGGGGCTTCTCCCCACCCCGATATTGGGGCTTAAACTTGGGGCCTGACACTTACTAGGTAGGTGCTCTACCACTTCATCCCCTCTGCTAGTCCTTTTTTGTGTTGGGTATTTTCAAGATATGGTCTCAAGAACTATTTGCCCAGACTGGCTTCGAATAGTGATCCTCCTGATCTCTGCCTCCTGAGTAGCTAGGATTATAGGCGTGAGCCACCAGTGCCTGGCTTGGCCTGGTAGTTTTTAGGAACATAAAATAAGATAAAAGATAAAATGATGTGAACTTGGTTGTGGCATTAGTATGTAAGTTATGGCAGCTTCTGCTCAAGCAGTACAGCCCTGTACCCAAGCTGCTCCCCTGTAGTTCCCAGGGGAGGAGGGAGAAGGGAGAGTCCCTTTACCTCTGCCACGGGGCATCCTCTGTCTTCAGCTTGGATTTCCTGGCAAACATAATCAGCTACAATGATAATGAAATGGGGAGTCCTTTCTCTTGTGAGCCAGGATTACATTAAAGTCAGAGAATTATGAAATAGGGCCCAGGGATTTTTTTTTTTTTTTCTTTTTTTCACGGTATTGGGCTTTGAACTCAGGCAATTGCTTTATCACTTGAGCCACTCCTCCAACCCAGACCCAGGGATTTTGACAAGGCCGCATAGTTTGGTGCAGGCCACACTTGGAATAATACTAATATAGCTGGTGGTCTCTGCTTAAAAAAGGAAATTCTAGCAGGTCATTTCTGACTTCCAGGACCAGTGACTCAGGCTTATATTTACCACTGAGGCCAAGTCTATTGCTCCATCTTTGAGGAATGCTGATCTGAAGAGTAAACCTTTTGCAACAGTAAACCTTTTGTATCTTTTTGTTTTGTTTCAGTTTGTTTTTGAGACTTATCTCATCATGCTGCTCACGCTGGTCTTGAACTCCTGGGCTCAAGTGCTCCTCCTGCCTCAGCCTCTCAAGTAGCTGGGGAGAGAGGCGCCCACCACTGCCCTTTTTACCCCTGTTAACTGTGACACTAGCCACACATTACTTGCATTTCTATGAGCCTGCCTCTGTGGGAGGCTGTTTTTTTTTTTTGCCATATTTCATAAATCATGAAGGAAGCTGTTCTAAAGATAACGGCAGCCAAGGTGAAAGTGTAAGTGGCTTAGTACTCTGCCCCAGTTCTAGAAATGTCCTTGCATACTGACCCAGAGTGAAAGGCTCACCGTTCTACTGGTAGCAGCCTGTGTTGGCAACTTCTGGGTTCTTCCCCACACACTGTACCATTCTCAGGTTTGTTCTGATTTGGCCCATCAGACTCTACAGCATGAAGTTCTCTAGAAGGCAGTCAGCTTAAGGATCTGTAAATGTAAGAGTTACATGTAAGAATTCTGTCCATTCCCTATTTTGGTCTTCTGGTTTTGGTATTGGCATCTTTTGACTGTCCCTAGATAGTATCTTCTGTGAAGCCTGTGTAAGAAGGGAATCTGCAGTTTTTTCTAATTTTTGAAACCACATGTACACATGGAGTATCTTGGCAATCAGGAGGTCTGGGTTCTAGACTTTGCATAGCCTCTTGATCACGTATCACCTTAAATGTCTGGGCCTTGGTTTTACCTTCCTTATGATGCAAGAGGTGAGCTATCAGACTCCAAAGTCCTCTTTAGCCCCTTTGCCTATTGTTCTATCCGCATCCTGATTTCGTGGGGGAGGGTTTTTTCCCCCCTTGAGTAGTGCCACAGCCAGGCCTGGAGATTGGCTTCTGCCATTTTAGCCATTATTGGGGGTAAAAAGATTGGCTGTTGCATCCTTCCTGGTTGCTTCACCAGGCCAGTGTCATAAAGCTTTTTTCTTAGCAGTGGGCCTTGGAGCCCTTGTATAGAACACCCATGCGTTGCTGGTGGAATCCTTACAGGATTGTGCTGATTGCACTGTGGCCACATTTAATCTGATGGATTCTTTCTTCCTAGCCACCAGGGGGCGGTGTAGGGGGGGTGTCAAGTTGTCTGTTCAGTAACTTTCTATTGTTGCTTTCATGGCTGCTACTTCCAGCTCTCATCAAGTATTTGTGAGCTCTTACGTTCTGTTGTAGGATTACTGCATTCTCAACTGGTAGTTTCTGCTGAGTCCTAGACATCCCTGCTCTCTCTAAGAAAGCTCAAGAGGTAGTAAGAAAACTCTGAAGTCTACTTCAGGGCTGAGTGCTGAGTGGCCCTGAGAACACACCCAGTTTCCCCAATTCCCAGCCCATCTGTGAGGAGACAGGTCAGGGAAGACAAAACAAGCACAGAGAGAGGACAAAGGCGGGAGTAACACAGCCACCTCCCTGCTCTTCACCTGTCCTGGTTCCCTAACAGGAGACTTTTTATTTTTGCATTTTGGTTTTGGTTTTTTGTTTGTTTTTCAGTGGGACTGGGGTTTGAACTCAGGACTTTATGCTTCTGACAGGTGACTTTGTAGAAGAGATCCATTTTGCTTAAACTCCTTTAAAAGTCTTTGTTAACCAGGGTACCAGTGGCTCACCCCTGTAATCCTAGCTACTCAGGAGACAGAGATCAGTAAGACTGCGGTTCGAAGCCAGCCCGGGCAAACAGTGCATGAGACCCTATCTCAAAAAAAAACCATCACAAAAAAAAAAAAAAAAAAAAAAAGGGCTGATGGAGTGAGTGGCTCAAGGTGTAGGCCTTCAGTTCAAGCCCCAGTACCACAAAAAATAAATAAAAAGTCTTTGTTAAAAGATAAATATTATTAGTAAAAGGAACAAAGATTATTTCTCCATTGGAAGAAGTGAGAGAAAATTTGAGCACATCTGTGGATATTTGGTCTTAGAAAGAAAGCTTAGCAGGGGACCCTGGGAAGGAGTTTTGTTTGGTCTCTGAGGATGAAAATAAGTGTCAAAAGATAAGCCTGTGTCTTAAGCAGTAGAGGGAGACCACCCCTGGCTAGGCTGGGCAGGAAAATGTATCTTATGCACCCTTGTTTCCTGTCCCCATCACTCATGAGTAGTGTCCTGCTTTGCAGATGAAGGACATTCAGAAAGGGGGTATGTATTTCTCAAGGTTAAGCAGGTAGCAAGAGAGGCAGGAGCTAAGTGGCTCCACTGCCACTGTTCTGTGCAGGTGACAAATGACAGATGACATCCCTACCCCTCAAGATCCCAGCAACCACTAACTGATGCCTGTGTCTTACAGAACTGTTGGAACTGTGGCCGCAAGGCCAGCGAGACATGCAGTGGCTGCAATATTGCACGATACTGCGGTTCTTTCTGCCAGCACAAGGACTGGGAGCGGCACCACCGCCTCTGTGGCCAGACCCTGCATGGCCAGAGTCCCCACAGCCAGAGCCGGCCACTGCTTCCTGGAGGGAGGAGCTCCTCAGCCAGGTCGGCTGACTGCAGTGTGCCCAGTCCAGCCTTGGACAAGACCTCAGCCACCACCTCGCGTTCCTCAACACCTGCCTCTGTGACAGCCATTGATGCCAATGGACTCTGAGCCCCAGACCGCCCCCATCCTGTTGGCTACTCTGAGCAGCAGAACCCTTGAAACAGGGATTTGGCTATTGGAACAAGTAGCTGTTGGATCATCAGCAAGAAATGAAGTGACAGCAGGCAGCAACCAAGCAGTGCCCCCCAGCCTTCTTGGAACTTGCCGAGTACCCATGGAAGAACTAATGTGCCATTCTCTGCACATCGGCAGTGACCAGAGCGCCTCCTCCATGGCTTTCCTTGTGTGTTCCTTTCCCAGTTGAAGCTGGCTTAGCCAGCCCCGTCTCAGTGCAGACCACCAGCTTCCCCCATCTCCTTGCATCAGCAGACTGCGAATGTGCCCACCAGGTTGGCAGCTACTCACCCACACACTATCTCCTACTCCATCTACAGTCTTCACAGGGCAGAGGGCTGAAGACTGGCAACAGACTGAGACCCCTCCTCCCTCCACCTCTGAACAGTTACTCAAACCTCATGTCCACCCTCAGCAGGTGACACTGATTGACTTCACAGGGACTTGGGTAGACAAAAAGCAGTACTCAGGACTCCCTCCTCAGCCCTCCTGTTCAGACTTGTTAAGATGCTCAGAAATAACAGGATAGAAGTCACCTCTTCACTAGAGCACCCATAACAATAAAAAGGAAATCAATAAATCTTTCCAGACATCACAGATTATTTTGGACAAGAGTTTCCAACCCAGCTGGCTCCTTTAGTTTGGAACCCTTTTTTTTTTCTCTCATGTGATTTTGCTTGTGCAGAAAATAGTTTCCAACGCTTGGATTGGGCTGAGAGAAAATGAGACTCCATTGTGTTGGTCTTTTCTCTCTGAGCATGTTGGACAGACTAGTATCAAATTACTGAGTGGATTATCTCTTGAAATGCAGAACCTTCTGCCACTTCTCAACTATTTGCACAGTCGTTTTGTTTTATATCCTTTTATTTCTCAGACCACGCATGCCCAGATTGCTGTGGGTATCATCTGACATGAACTCTGTCACAGTAGAATGTTAGTAGAACCTCCTGCCCATCTTGTCTGAGCAGCTCTTCTGGACCTGAAGGAATTCTTCACACTTCTGGTTCATAGCATCATACCTGCTACATGAGTTCATTATCAGGTGCACAATCTCAGTCCCCCTTCTCGTGTCATCTGTTTCATGCCTTTGCTCTGAGCTCAGAAAGGTTTTGTGAAGTGTGGAAACCATTTGGGAAAGTCTGACCAATTTTTCTTCCTGTCTACAGGGAATTTTCCCTGCTTATCTAGCTTTCCAAACAAGGATATCACCCTGTACCCGTTTCAGAGTACTAAGCACTGCACATACCTTCTATGCTGCCATCAGGTTATGTTGGGAGCCCAAGGCCCTGTTACTCCCATTGGCCACCTCTGAACCTCCAGCAGCTTACTGCCTCATGGGACCAGTTGGGGTGAGTTGGTTGGCCTTGCTCCTGCTGGCTGTTTTAAAGCCATGGTCAGCTTACCACCTGTGTACACTAACTGAGTCTGATGTAAAGGCCCTTGGCCTCGTGAAGGAAAGGGATATCTATGCATGGCATTGTCGTTGCGTACAGTTTAGCTTACTTTAAGAACTTCAGGTCCCTACTTTACCTCAACCAAGAATTTCTAGTCTTCAAAGCTTGGTACAAGGTAACTTAAAAACACCTAGATTCCCATCATATAAAGTAAGGTAAACCCAGAGAAAGCACTGGTAATCATGTTATTTCAACATGGAGCACAGAAAACCCACTGCCTAGTACAGTCTGGCCTGGCCCCACCCCATCAGCCTCCTGTCATCTACTACCCAGGTTGTAGTCAATCCTCAGGCAGCACTGGCCCATATTTCTCTAAGATGTGGCCTATAAATCTGTTATCTCAAGAGTGTCTCGTGTATACACTGGCTCTTTTCCTTGGCTTACTGTTTCTTCATTGATAGGTTGGATACACGGATAAACACTTAAGCAGGTTTTTCAAATATTCACTGGCCACATGAGTAGCCAGGGTAACTGCCATTTTCTACTGGTTGGAATAAAAAGTCAAAACTGCCAGGCGTGGAAATGACTGCCTGGAATCCCAGCACACTGGAAGCTGAGACAGCAGAATCATGAGTTTGAGCCCACAATGGGCTACATAGCAAGACCCTGTCTTAAGAAAAAACAAACAAACAAACAAAAACCTTATCAGGACTCAAGGACAATTTCTACAGCAAAAGTCTTAGGTGCAGGTTCTGGCCTGCTAAACTACTTGGCTCCTGTGATCCACAGAGGTTCATCTGCAAACCTGGGTAGAACTATCCATCATAATTCACTTCAGTTCCCAGACAGTGAAAGCACTGTCTTGATTCTGGTCATTGTCACACATAAAGCATCTGCTAGAAATTCCTGTTCTCATTTAAGGAGTCCTTTTTCCACCACCTTTCTGAAATTCCGAAGGAGGAACAGCACCTAGAGTGAGGTGGGCGCCTGGGGGCGGGGATGGCAGGAGCAAGTCCAGCCTCCTTAGTCTCCATTCTCTGCTCAAACCACCCCAATGTTTGGAGGTAGACAGGGAGGCTCCCCACTCTAGGATTAGAGAGAAGTACCCATAGGGTCAGGGTGATCAGAGGCCTGGCCTCAAAAGTTCAAGTGGGGCTGGGTGGTGGTACGCAGTATAGTGGGTCATTCACAAGCTCTTTGACGTTACCTTAGAAACCAAGCAGACAGCATTTCTAGAGAGTGAGCCAGTGCTCAGCATCACCTGCTGAGGGACACCAATGAGTGATGGGACTTCAGTCCTTTGAGGATTAATTACAGGGACTAGAGGCCACAAAGACGGCAATAGTGGGAGCCATCTTTAAATTCCCTTCAGTTGTCCTCTGGATCCCCACTCCCCTCCACCCTTCTGCTTCATCCAGTGCTGAAAAAGACTCGGTATGAAGTTGTTTAACTACACCTGCTCAGGAATTGGCAGTCTACTCTGTAAGATGTGTGTCTTCTCTCACAGTGTTCTGCATCTTAGCAGATTTGCTCACAGTTAGGTAGGGTGAGGGTACAGATTGCGTGGCTCTTTCCTGAGGTGTAGCCGAGTTTTGTGTCTGCCTTGGATCTACAAGTGCAAACAGCACAGCAGCCCTTCATAGCCCTGCACCTAGTATGGCAGTTGCTCTTTGCCATGTGGACTCCTTTGCCCATCAGGGCCTGTTGGTCCACCAGGAGCTCATCACTGCTTGGTTTCAACTTGAGCAGAAAATGCTTTATATAGCCCTATCACATACTCACAGAGGGTGTAGACATTCTGGAAGATACTTCAGCAAATGTTTAAGGGTTCAGCAATACTATTGGAACCATAGTGGATGCTCCAGAGAGAAAGCATAAAAAACGACCAGATGGCCGTTTGTCCTGGAAACTATAGAAGAATTATGGGTTGAATAAATCACTACAAATAGGACACATCTTGGAGGCTTTCTTCAAAACTGGACTAGAACCAAGGTTTCCAGGCTCCTAGGTCAGATCAAGCCAGCTTCTTCGCTCTTTTTTAGCTATTTACAGAGAACTGGGTGGTGGCATGTTTGAACCAAATGTGAGAAAGCTAGAAGAACCTGGACTGTTCCAGCATGGGCCAGATGGCCAGCTGTCAAAGAAGAGCCCTGCCCCAGCTGGGTAGGGAGTTGGACAGCTGCTCAGCAGAGCCCTCTGACTCATAAAACCAAAACCCTTGACTATCTGCCTCTGTCCCATGCGTTGACATGCGCACTTCCAAAGATGCTGGAGCAGGTCAATGGGTCCCATCCTGAACCAGAGAGAGTTGAGGGGCCTGAAGGTGGGCCTTGCATTCCTCACCTCCCACTCCACAGCCTAGAAGGTGGCACTTCCCACACAGACCCTGTCTGGTCAGGCCTCCAACTGCCCAGTGTATACTCCCATTGATGCTTATACCAAATAGGGCATGTTTGGCTAGTGTCTGTCAGGGACAGCCCATCCCTGCCGACAAGGGACAGTTGGCAGAGAAGCAGCAGTAAGCATTGGGTGAATGCTTGTAAGGCCTGTTGGGCCACGAGGCCTTCATTCCAAGTTCCTGATGAGGCTACAAAGGCTGTGTCCATAAAAGAAAGCCAATAATGTAAATAAATAGAAAACTAAGTCTCCAGGTGTGGTTTTCAATGGGGCTGATGAATGTGAAGCCGCCTACGGGTGCATCAGTCTGGGTTCTCTGTGCTTTGTCATCTTACTCTTGTAGGAACTTTTGTTACTTAACTGTGCATAACTTATTTAATGTACTGTATAAATGAACCAAAACTGTTAAATATGTATTTAGTTTGTTCTACTTAAAGTAGTCAATAAAAAAGTTATATTCCTTTTCTGACTCAAGCTAGAGTGGGCCTGGGAAGGCCATGTGTTAACTGCGGTGGTATAAACATCATAGTGACCTGCCACCAGGCTTCTGTGTCCCTACCCCATAGTTCCCAAATCTTTGGGGCAGGGGGGAGAGGGCTCTAACCATTCTTGAAATAGTCTAAAGAGCATGGTGGGAGGGTTGGAGGCTGCCTTGGAGCCTCATTGGGTCTACTGCTTATGCTGTCCAGAGAGGTTGCAGTCAAGTGCAATGAAAAACGGACACTCCTGGCTCCTGTTCTCTTCACCATTAAGTGATCTTTTAGTACAGAAAGCTCAACTGCAGAAAGTTTAAAAATATAGGGGACTAGTATTTTTTTCTATTAAGTCATGTATTTCTTTATAAAATTTTAACACTAATATTAACATCTCTGCACTTTTGAATATTCATTTATGTCCTTTTTGCACCAATGTTAAATCATAAGTAATTTCACATTTATTTGCTTAATGGTTGCATAATTTAATCGAGGCCATAGTTTTCTTAACTCAGCCTCCTTTTGGGCAGCTGGACTGCTTTCAGGTCTTCCAGCATGACTTACAAAGTCATCATCTTCCTTCATGTGCCTCATTTCCCTAGGACAGGTTTCCCAGGTGGGATTTCTGGTACTGCACACCTTCCTTGTATTCTGGAAACACATTTATGCTACTTTCCCTGGAAGTCCACCAGCCTACAGTACCTTTAACATGGTGGCACTTTGCATTGCCACGGCTCTGAGGTTGGTATGGCCATGCCTGAGCACACCTGTGTGTGAAGTCGGGCATCAGTCACCTACTAGCCTGGGAGCTGAGCCCTGGTCCCAGCCTCACTCCTGTCACCTGAATACCCATCTCTAGCTTCTGTAGACCCACTTTTGCCCGGCACCATGCCCGTTGAGCCTGTTGGCACCATCAACTTCCCAATCCCCCACAATGCAAACTGGAGTATTGCTTACTAGATCTGGGGTAGTGGGAAGGGCTTACCTTATCCCCTGGAGGCAAGATGGGGACTTAGTCCTATGTTGTTTGATGCAGGTGGTGCCAACTACCCACCTTTCTCAGTCCACTGCAGTTCACTACCTAGAGCAACGCCTGGGTCCCAGCCATGTGGCTGTCAGCCTAGTACAAGCGCTCCTTGTTGGTGTACAGGGTATTTTCCATAGAAAGGATGGGCTGAAAGTTTTTTCATTACCTCAAAACCCCCAGGGCCTCACACTTGCTAGGTAGATGCTCTACCACTTGAGCTACTCTGATGGTCCTTTTTTGTGTTGGATATTTTCAAGGTAGGGTCTTGTAGCCTTGCACTAGTGGCTCACACCTGTAATGTAATCCTAGCTACTCAAGCAGAGAGCAGGGGGGAGAAATGAACCAAGCCTTGTATGCACATATGAATAATAAAAGAAAAAGAAAACAAAAAAAAAAAAAACCCTGATTTCAAAGGACTCACAAAAAAAAAAAAAAGATCAGGAGGATTGTGATTCAAAGCCAGATAGTTCTCAAGATCGCATCTCAAAAAAACCCCATCACAAAGGGCTGCTGGAGTGGCTTACGGTGTAGGACCTGAATTCAAACTCCAGTACCACAAGAAAAAAGAAAGAAAAGGGTCTTGTGACCAGACTGGCTTCAAACCCTGATCCCCCTGATCTATGCCTCCCAAGCAGCTAGGATTATAGGTGTGAGCCATAGGCACCTGACCTAAATTACACTTTTTTTTTTTTAAACTATACTGAGATCCCAAGTGAGAAAATACAGGAAATCCCCAAGGCCAGAACAACATTAAAAGGCTTAAGCCTGGAAATAGTCCTGTGCTCCTTTCGGGGAAGAAAACTCCAAGAACTTGGAGTTTGAGATGACCTGCCAGGAGGGAGGGGGCAGGAGACAGGCTCTGGGTCTTTGCTCCTCCTGGAAGCCAGGTAACTCATGGCCAAAGCCCTGTGGAAAGGCAGCAAGAACCTCCCTGTCTGTAATATGGACTAGAAACTCTGTCCCTGCTTGAGGGACAGTACAAGTAGAACCTCCCCAGAGACTACTCAGCTCTGCTCTCTCCTGGACTTGGGAGTTCAGGTTTGCACTAACTACAGAGGTCAAAGACCTCCTGGACTGAGAAATTAAGATAATTCTAGGCTTGTATCTATCTCCTGTTGCTCAGCTAAAGCAAAAGGGCAGAAGTATTCTTAAGACTCTTCAGCAGTCTCACCATAATACATCTCAGTATGGTATAATCAGTCCAGAAAACCCACTAAGCACCTGGGAAATGTGTCATCCTGAGGAAGTCAGCAGAAATGACAATTTAAGACCCCAGGCTTCAGAGTTATCAGATGGAGAAAACAAAAACCATATAAACTGGGTGCCAGTTGTTCATGCCTGTAATCCTAGCCACTTGGGGGGCTGAGATGGAGAGGATCATGTTCAAGGTCAACCAGGCAAATAGAGCTCAAGACCCCATCTCCAAAGTAACCAGAGAAAAATGGACTGGAAGCATGACTCAAGCAGTAGAGGGCCTACTTTACAGGCAGGAAACCCTGAGTTCAAACCCCAGTCTCAACAACAACAAAGAAGTTCTAAAGGAGGCACTAAATAGATAAAGAAAAAACAAAAACCCAAAAGTGAGAGAGTCTGAAGATGATTAGGTGGGCATGTTCCGGGAATTACAATCACTGAAACACTCAGTACATCATTAAGCAGCAGGTTAGGTGAGTCTGAAGAGATGAGTGGCACATTGCCATGTCAGAGGCAAAGACTAGGAAAGAGTGGTCTTTCTGGAATGTAAGTTGGGAGGGGAGAGCACTTGCCTATTTTACCAAGGATGGAATAAAGCTGAACAATGGGTTTCTCAACAATGAGGGAAATAATTAGGTTAAGCTAGCTCAGGATGAGCAAACAGATCCAAGTGGTGAATTTGCCGTTCTGTCCTCAGCTGCTTCCTGTCCTATGCTCGCTTCACTGCTTGGTGGTGTGCGCTCTCTGGTGGACAGATCTGTGCCTGATGCCTCTGCCGCCTCAAGTTCCTACCCAGGGCGACACTGACTACTTTTGCCTTTCTCTGTACACCAGTCTTTTCTGGGGCTGCCTCTGCTCCATGAGTTCAGCCAACATTATCTGGGTACCTCCAAGAGAATTCCAGAAAAGATTAGGATTCAGCCTTCCTACCCGCACCCTCCTCACACTGGGCTCCATCTGCCATTCTGCAGACCCTAGGGCTTGGCCTTGCTTCTTTTATCTTCACCTTCCCCTGCCTCCTCCAGCCTGGGCTGGTTTCTGCTACCTAAGGATGCGTTTTTTTCACTTGACAGCAAGTGGCTGTTGGTGCCAGGGAGGTCCTGCTGTGTGGCCAGAGCAAAGCACTTATTCTCTGAGTTTCTGTCTTCCAGGCTAGCAATGCCTACCCCTGAGTTGATGCAAGGGCAAAAATGTGATCATACGGGTTTCTCTCCTAGCACAAGGGCCTGCACCTGGAGGGTGTAAATGACTGCCCTCATTCTGTTTCTTCCCAGTCTGTGATTCCTTGAAGCCCTGTCTTTCTCCCGCACCCTGCATGGAGTTGGTTTGCCTTGCTTAGGTAGTGTCTGTCTGGAGAATGACTTCGTGGAGGCCCATGTTCTCAGTGCCCTCAGGCTGCACCAGAGGCATCTCGTGCAGGTCTCAGAACTGTAGTTAGTGGCCACCAGCTAGACTTCTGCTGTGTCTCCAGGACCTGGCCTGGCCTTGGGCCAAACCCTGGGACAGGTTGGATGTGTGCAGGTGAATTACCTGTGCAAAGAGTAGGTGAAAGGGTAGGATGGCAGCTGGCCAAAGAACTCAGAGCACTCTGGTTTCTGGACTCTGCCTGCCCTTAGCCTGGTACTGACACCAGCACAGGACACTTCATTCTCCCCACACCTGCCACAAAGCAGATGGCAAGCAGCTTGCAAAAGGAACTGAAGAGCCACCAAGAGTAAGGCATTGAGAGCAAGGGTTGGGGAGGTGAGCCAGAGCTCATGGCTTTGATCTGCTGCTGAAACATAAAGACAGCAGTGTTTCTGTAGTGGAAGTCAGTGAGCAAGGCCAAGGATAGGTGACCAGGGTGGCAGATGGCCCAGCTCAGCCCAAGTGTGATTGAGGGAGAGAGGACTGCACAAATTGGAAGTAGGGACTGATTGCTGAAGCTTTGAATGCCAGGACAAGAAATCACACTTGATTTCAAGTGGAAGCCATTGATGGGTGCTGGCTGGAGAGATGGGGTCACCATGGCAATTTTTGAGAGCTCTTTCAGGTACTGCATGGTCTGTCCTGGGAGCTTCCATGCTCCTGCAGGCTTCCTGAGCTGTGTGTGCAAGGTATAGCAGGGACTGCAAGACAGAGAAGGTGGGCTTGTGAGAGCAGGCACATTGTAAAGACTCCGTGTGTCCCCACTTCCCATCTCAGCTCACAAGTGAGTCCTGTGTCTGTGACTCCAGTATCCTGTGTTCGTCCAGCCCCACCCTCCACAGAGCTCCTATCTGCCCCCTAGGGACAGGCCACCTCTACTCACTCCCTCCACACCTATGAGGGTCCCTTCTGCACCCATCTGCAGCATTCTTCCTGCCCACCACTCTTTTTTTTTGGCAGTGCTGGGGAGGGAATTCAGGGCCTGTGGATGCTAGTGAAGTACTCTACTGCTGAGCTACATCTCAGTCTACATCTCAGTCCCCACTACTACTCCTACCTGCTGAGAACCCCCTGCTTAAATTTGCCAGGCTCAAACCAAATCACTGTCTCAAAGAGAGCCTCCCACGCCTGCAAGACAGATGTGTCCTCCACCTGCAGTGTCCTCCCAGCAGTTCTGAGCCTTCAGCAAGGAAGGGAGGTCACAACCATCTTGTAAAGTAAGAGCCCAGAATGCTACCAGATGAGGTGCCTGGGGAGCAAAATCAAGCGGGCACTGCTTCAGAGGGGGCAACTGAAGCTTCAGCCTCTTGGTTTCAAGATGACAACAGGCCAGGCATGGTGGCCCAGGTAGTTGGGAGGTAGAGATCAGAAGGATCATGGTCTGAGGCCAGCCTAGGCAAAAAGTTAGTGAGACCCTATCTCAACAAACAAGCTGGTCTGGGTGCCTGTGACTCATGTCTGTAATCCTAGCTACTCAGGAGGTAGAGGTCAGGAGGATCGTGGTTCAAAGCTAGCCCAGGCAAATAGTTTGTGAGACCCTAGTTCAAAAAACCTATCACAAAAAAAAAGGCTGGTGGAGTGGCTCAAGGTGTAGGCCCTGAGTTCAAACTCCAGTACAAAAAAGCTGGGTGTGGGTTCATGCCTGTGATCCCAGCACTCGAGGCTGAGGCAGGAGGATCGTGTATTTGAAGCCAGTTGAGCTACATAGTGAGTTCAAGATCCTGCCTCAAAAAAGCAAACAACAGAAACAGCACTGTTTTTTTTGCTTTTTGTTTCTTGGGCGTGCAGGGGTTGGAAGCCTGGGGCCTCGCACATGCTCAGACGTGCTCTGCCACTGAGCTCCACCCCCAGCCCCAGCACATTCCCCCTGGAAAGACTTCTTCTCTAGCAAGGAGACATACTGAAACTGGAGTGTGGGGACAAACTGCCCCAAGCCAGCCAGGCCCTTGTGTCTGTCTAGATACAGCCATCTGGGTAGGGGCGGGGAGCAGTCTGCTCCTGGTCAAGGAGCCACTAGGCCCCTGTGCTTAGCCTTTGGCCTGGGCAGCCAGGCGGGTAGGGGAACTGCCTCCTGTGAGGGACCCTGGGGAGCAATCCCAGGGAGATCCCTCCTAGAGGCCGACCAGCATGCCCACCCTGAGCCGGTAACATCTCACCTGCCTTTCTGGCCCACACCTCAACACCCAGCAAGGATCTGACACTGCTGGGCATCAGCAACACTGTTGAAATGCGAAATTGGTGACGCCCCCTGGCTCTTCAGCCCTGGCTTAGAACCTACAGCAGTTTTCTAAGGACCAAGCGCCTTCTGCCTTCACCCCCTCCCACCCTCACCGCCAGCTGTACCCCAGCATCTCTCCTTCCCCTGGCCTCACTGCTTGCTGCTGGGTTTCCCTGGGTCTGTGGGCAAGTGCTCCCTCCCCCTCCAAGTCTGGAAAACTGAGCCCATACCTCTGACCAGGTCAGATCTGCCCTGGGCTCTATGGCCACTCCCGCCACGTGCCTTCCTGACCCTTTCTCCAGGACAGTCTCCCCCTGGCTGGTAGGAGTGACTCAGTCATCATCCTCCTGGATTTGCTCCGTCAAGTGGCAGTGGCAATGACAGGTCCAGCCTGACATAGGAGGTTCTGTCTAGGTACAGATCTTCCTACAGGAAGCGCTTTGTGACCCTGTGAAGGCTCTGTGTGGTACGAAGCTGAAACCTCAGCAGTTTGAACATTGTCACTCCCCTTTCCCAGGCAGGACCCTGGCCCAGGGGTTGTGGGGTGCAGGCCCTGGACTGGAGAAACCTGCCCCAGCTATGGCAGAGTCTCTCTGCAGATATGGAGCATCAGGTGATATGGGCACAGGATGGGCTTCTCCCTCTGCGTTTCCAGTCAGGGAGGTCAGGGCCCCAGAGCAAGAGAGAGAGGAGGAGACGCCAGAAATGACCACCGCCTTTTATTGCCTCCGTGCTGGGCTCCCGGGCTGGGGTTCACGAGATCTCTGGGGGCAGCAGGCAAGTCTAGACCCAAATTATTGCTACTTTGCAAGGTGACTTTGAGGCTTCCCATAGTGCCCTGAGAATGGGTGGGGTATGCACATGCAAATGTTATGCAAATGACATGCAAACCAACCCAGGATCCTCCAGAGGTCTCTAGTGTAGACATGGTTGCTGGAAAAGTTAGTGCCAACCTAGTGGGATGATGGGGCGACCCAGGTCCTTACTCTGCACAGCAGACTGATCTGGCCCAGCCTCAGTGGTTGAGGTTCGAGGGCTTGGGGATCCCTGAGCATCAGCCTTGGTTCTACTGCTGGGTGCGGAACAGCAAAAGCTCTTTCCCGAGACAGCAGGAAAAAACAGAACACCACTAGGCAGTCAGAGAGTTCAGGGACCTGCCTGAGCCACACCACTAGGCAGGGGCAGAGGGGACCAGAATACAGGCCTCCTGAGCCAGGCAGAAGCCCAGGTACCTTGTACCTTGGAAGCTACAAACAATAGAATACACTGATAAATAAATCAACAGAAAGCAAGCAGCCCAGTGCCTGCTCTCTGGGCTGAGAGACCTTCCACCAGCTGGCCAGGCCCCAGGTCTAAGAGTAGGCAGGGTCCTTGGGTCTCCGTGCTGAATCGACCAGTGCAGAAGGTTCTAGGAGTTAAGCAGGGCCTCAGGGTCCTTGGCTTAAGCAGGTCAGGCTCAGTTATTATTCATAATCCACCAGGAGGCTGGGGGTCAGAGGCTGGGGGTCAGGATCCATCGGGGGGCCCCTCACCCCTCCCAGGTCCCAGGGCTGAGAGAGGACTGGGGGCTGCAGCACACCTGGGAAGAACACAGTGGTGAGGGTGTCCGGAGTGCGCAGGTGGTCAATGAGGATGCGCTGGAAGGCCTTACTGCAGGGTGACTGCTGGTGCCTGCAGAGGGCCATGGAGGGGACCAAGGCTACAGTCATCTACTCCAAGATCAGGGCCATCTGCTCTTGGGACTCCCGCCCAACCCCAGTCCTGCTGCCTGGATTCAGATCCCAGGCCTTTCCCACACTGGCTTCAGCCTCTGGTGTTTCCCTCTGTGAAATGGGGATCAGGTGTTTACTTCACTGGAATACAGTGAAGATTGAAGGAAGTATCACACAAGGCACCTGCCACAGGGATAATAGTGTGCATTAGCTGAGTGCCTACTATGTACTTGGCACTATATTCAGTTTTTTACAGTCATCTCACTTAGCCCAAGGGAGGCTTGACACTGGGGCCCAGATGGGTTAGGTAACTCAAAGGAGGTCACACAGCCAGTGAGTGGGAGAGCAGGACTTTACCTGGCCTGACCCACTCCAGGACCCATACTTAGTGTCAGCTGTTAGGCCACCACTCATACCTTCTCCAGGAGGCTTCGTCCTGCCAGAACTCATACAGGGTGAAGGAGGCATTGTTTAGCATCTTCTGGGCAGACACACTGCAGGGCCAAAGAGATAGCTATGCCATGATAGAGCTGCGACTACCACTGCCCACCTGCCAGGGTCCAATGGGTCCCCTCTGTTCCCCTCTCCCCGCCCCAGCCATCCCACCAGCCGGCTGGCCACTTACTGCAGACACTGGCTCTGAGCCCCCGTGAAGTCCACATAGCAGCACAGGGCTCGATGGAAGTCCTGCAGGGCCTCCTCTGCCACCTGCACTTGCCTCTGGGCCATGAGGATGTGCTGGCCAAGAGTGAAGCCAGTCACGGGACAGGCCAGGCACAAGGCAAAGGCTCCTTCCTTCCTCGCCTGGACCCCTGCTGCCAACAAGCTCCTGCACCTGACTCCCCCCCAGCACCCTCTCCTTCATCAAGATCACCGCCCTACTCCAGCCATTATCCCTGTCTTCTGCAGCAACCACCACTCCCTACTGCCCCCTCCAGCTTCCATTCCCTGCCCCAGATCTGGCGTTCAGAAATACCAGTAAGGGAATTACCAAGAGGGGCAGTGACTTCTGCAGGGTCACAGAGCAAATGCAGGAAGAACCCAGCCTCTTCCTGCCAGGTCTGGGGAAGGGGCGGATGGGCAGCTGGCCCCCTACGTCCGTCCCTCACTTCATGAGCACCTGTAGCCCAAAACCCAGTGACCTGCCCCTCCCCAGGCTCACCGAGTTGGGACTCTTGACAAGGTCCTCTTCATGCAGGGGTTCCAGCCGAGGAGCCTGTGAGGGACACAGAGTATGGGCCAAGCCCCCAGCAGGTACCTGGTTTGAACAGATGCCAGGGACAATCTCCCCAAGGGTCACTGGCCACCTGGCCACTCACCTTGCAGTCAAGCTGGTCTATGAGCTCCTGGAGACGGTTGACTTGCAGTCGCCACTGCATCTCTGCCTCCGAGCTCCGCCCTGGGGTGGGGGAGAACGAGGGCATCAGCCAGTGTCCCTGAGGCTGAGAGGCCTTTTAGGATGAGCTGGGAGCAATGGAGCAGACCCTGGGGGAGTGGAGAGTGGATGCCACGCCTGCCCTGGACCCCACCCTGCCACAGGCACACCTATGTCAGCGGAGCCAGGAGACCAGGTAGGTGACCGACTGACACTCCTCAGGGCTCTGCGTCCTGCCCGCCGGCTGCCACGGGGTCTGCTCTTCACTTCCACATTCTCTTCATCTGACCTAGGGAAGTAGAGTCAGCCCACTGCCTCCAGACCTCAGGGCTAAGGACTGGGGGTCCCAGCACATGACAAGGCCCAGGTGGGACAAGACAGGCCTCCTGGGACTTTGAGGTCCGGTCCCAAAGCCAGCCACCCTTTCTTACCCACTCATGGCCTCCTACCCAAGAATGTGTCCAGAACACCGGAAGGAAGGAATGCGAGGACACTAATGGGTTTAGAATGCAGGGACGAGCACTCACGCACTGGACCCACACCCTGGCAGGGTCCTCACATACCGCAGGCCACGGGCCTGGGCCTCCAGGGTGTCCGACGCCCCCTCCAGCGAGCTCTGCAGGGCTTGTAACTGGCTCACTGTCTCCCGCAGCAGAAAGCGTGTGACAAACTGGTCCACTTTGGAAGCCTGCTCATACTCCTGAGGGCAAAAGCAGGCCTGGCTGGCATCTTCGGGTCCTGAGCACACAGTTCTGAGAGGGAGTCGCCTGTCGGGTGGGCTCCCTCTTGCCCATCAGAGCAACAGTGGAAGTACAAAGAGCAGTTATAGGGCATAAGGACCTGGCACAAGCAGGAGGGCACTGAGGCTCAGTGGGCAAGGGGGGCCTGGGTCCCTTCTCTTCTAGGTCTGGGCTCTCCCTGGCAGGAGTGACGCCCGCTCATAGGGAGCACCTGGCCACTGGCATGCTGAGCCTTTTGGACCTGTTGGGGCTACTACCTTCTGCTTAGCTATAGCCAGTGAGGGACCAGGCATGGTCAGGCAGGAAGGGGGCTGGGTGGTGGTCCCAGGGCATCCAAGGGCTAATTCTGACACAATGATGTGTGAGGTGGCCCCATATCTAACAGCTGGCCTCAAACTCACAATCTGCTTAGGCATCTGTTCATTCACTCATTCATCCATGCAAAAATATGTTCACTGTGTGCTTTTTTAAAGAGATAGATATAAGACCACCAGGCGCTGTCCACACACATACCAGCACTGACTTCACCCTACATCACCAGCCTCCCCCCAGCTCCTCCCCAGGTAGGCAGACAGGACCACGCACCAGGTCCTGTGCTACTCACCTTGGGATTCTGACTCCCCAACTACCTTCACCTCCTGTCCTTTGGTTTCCTCATCTATAAAACAGGAATGAAATGCCCACCACACTGAGCTGTTCGGAGGTTGCCCTCAGCTAATTCCTACGTAGGACTCAGCCCAGTGCCTGGCTCACAAGTTCTCCATCCCAGAATTGTCCTCACTTGAATTGTCAAACATACGTCCTGCCTGCCGGCTGCCACTTCCACATTCTCTTCATCAGCCCACTGCCTCCAGACCCTCAGGGCTAAGGACTGGGGGTCCCAGGACATGACAACGCCCAGGTGGGACAAGAATCTGCCTGCTTGCAAACCCAACAGTCACAGATGTTCTGAGAAGCCCTCACCTCTACCTTGCACACAATCTAGGGTGGGAGTCCTGGGGAGCCTCGAGCCAGATGCCAGCCCTCCCTCTCCGAGGGGGCTGCAGAGGCACCATCCATCAAGGACTTCATCTCTTGTGCATGACTGCCTCAGCTCTGCCATAGGACCTAGCCAGGATTGGGAGATGACAAATGGATGAAGTGGAGGCTGGGTTCTGACATTCTTGGACAAATCAGTAGTTTTTGTCTCCACCAAATTCTTCCAATAAATTTCCTTGTGGTGCATTAGATGACTGATTGGTTTTCTATTGCTTGCAACCAAAGAACCCACCCTGTGCCAGGTGCCATTCCAAGAATAATTTTTTTAACCATCATGGGAATGTTCAAGAACCATAACTAAGCTGGGCATCAACGATTCATGCCTGTAATTGTAGCTACTCAGGTGGTAGAGATCAGGAGGACTGCAGTTCAAAGCCAACTCCAGGAAATGGTTGTTGAGAGCCTATCTTGAGAAAAACCTGACACAAACTAGGGCTGGAGGAGTGGCTCAATGGTAGAGTGCTCTGAGTTCAAACCCCAGTACCATCAAGGGAAAAAAAAAAAAAACGCTTGTAGTGACTCAATTTTGCAGAGGAGAATGAAACCTAGAAAGGTTCACTTTGGCCAAGCTTACACAGCTAGCTAGTGGCAGGGCCAGGGTTCAAACCCAAGCTATGTTAATTCCTCTCTACTCATCACTAAGCACCTTATAAGCATAGCTTCAGTTAGGATCAAAGCCAGAAGTCAGCCATACCCAGAGTCCCCTGGGGGGCGCTGGGAGGAAGAGCTCTGAGCTGGAGCTGGTGAGGCTGACCTGTGAGGTCACAATGCAGCCTCCCTGGGCGGGGCAGGGTGGAGCCAGGGCCCTTGGCTAGAGGGTAGGGCAGCGGCAGCATGGGCGGTGGCCCTCAGTGGTGACCAGCCCTGCCATGGGGAACAGCACCTCCCACAAGAGGATCAAAGTACTCAAGCAGGCCTGCACGGAGGGGCTGCCGGACATGGACAAGGGCCAGCGCAAACAGCAGTTCTTCAGCCACCTCAAGCGGAGGAACCCAAGTGTGAGCTGAAACGGTGGGAGGGGACATGCTGGGGGCAGGTGGCCCTGGACAGAAGGTCAGGAAGGAAGTCTAGGCCTGTGGGCACAAGTCCCAAGGGCCTGAGAAGGGTTAGGGAATCCCTCTAGAGGAGAAGGGTCACAGGAGCCCACGTGGGCCTAGGCGGGATCCTAAAAGCTCAGAAAGGAGGCCAGGACAGGATTCTCCCAAATCTGGGCAAATGGGTGGAGGTCAGGCAGGGGGAAGCAATCATTGGTACCACTCATTGGCACCACTGCGGTTACTACACAGGGAATTCCCTTTATTCCTCCAGGCCACAGCCTCAAAACATGCTGCTTTCCCGCTCTTCCAATGGGGATTGGCCCTTGACCCAGCCGGCAGGATGAGATCCCCCGGTATTAAGGCAGGATCTCATCGCAGAAGGTCAGCCTGGGGTGGGTGAGGGTTGCAGAAGGGAGGCGGAGACCCGGGCGCTTGGCCAAGGTGGGGAAGGTCTCTGACCTCAAGAAGGGAACGGTGTGCGCTCCTGGGGCCTAATGAACACTGCACATGGCAGGATGACCGGAGTCCCGGAAACACAGAGGGGCAGAGTCCTGGGAGACACGGCGGCGGGGAGGATGAGGGTCTCGGGAAGGAGGACAGGGCCGTCTTGGGTCGTGTGCTCGGCCCCAAGCGTGCTCTTCCCCCACACCCACCCCCCAGACCAAGATCGTGCTACTTTTTCCGCTGGACAAGCGGCAGCAGCTGGCCGGGAGGGCGGTGGGCCCCTGCCCGCGATCCGGGCGGCCGGGTGAGGACGCGTCCAGCGCCCCGGCGGGCTCCCCGTCTGTGGCGCCCAATCTGCGAGGGGCGGGTGACGGCGCCGAGCGGCGCGAGGGCGCGCGCGCGAGGGAGATGAAGAAGATCCTGGTCCTGCTGCTGCTGCTGGATGCGCGGCTGCAGGAGGAGGGGCGCCGCGCGGCGGGCGGGGCCGGGGGCGGACCCGAAGGCGGGGCCAAGGTCGTGCAGGACTGGCAGCGGCTGTACGCCCACCTGCTGACCGAGAGCGAGCCGAACCGCGAGCGCGACCCCGGCAAGGAGCAGCCCCGCAAGCGGCGCCGCTGCCCTCGCCCGCGGCCCTGAGCGCCCGGCGCGGCCCCCCAACACAGGACTCGGCCCAATAAAGCGTGCAGAGCAATCCTGGCGTCCTCTAGCTCTGTATGGAGGGCTGGGGCGCGCAGTCAGGGCGGGGGCAAGGTGAGGCTCGGGCGAGTCGGGGATGAACAGAACAGATCGCGAGCAGAGCCGCCGCTATGACCTGGAGCCAGGGCTGTCTTTACCTTGTCCTTCCTCATGGCACAAAGGGTCAGAACCACAATCCGTTCCCCAGCCACTTCAGACCCAGGTCCGATCCTATCATATCTGCAGACCCAAAGGAGGTAGACTTGGGCAAACCCAGGCTCCGCCACGCTAGGAAAATGGGACCTGTTTCCAGCAAAGACCTGACATCTCCAAGAGTCCCCAGCATTCAGAATTCCTCTTAAGAGATGTGGAATGGCTCAAGTGATAGACCGCTTACAAGTGCGAGGCCCTGAGTTCGAACCCCAGTACAGTCCCCCATACACAAAATAAGAAAGAAATCCCTCTTAGGCGGAGGGAGGGTTCCAACAAATGGGCACATGCTGGGGAAGAACAGCCAGGGTCCCCTGTCAGCTGGGGTGAGGCCTGAGCCTCAGATTCTGGCTAAGGGAGCACCCAGGAGGAGAGGCTGGGCTTCTGGCCCTCACTCTACCCCACTGTGCGCATTAACTTCAAGCACTCAGCTCCCCAGACTTCAAGGCCCCTCAGGTCAAAGTCAGCACTTGTCTCCCAACCTACTCTGCCCCATCCCCTTCCCTAAATTTAGCCAAAGGCTTCTTTCCAAACCACTTAACCTGTCTAGGGCAGGTCTCTCCCCTAGTCACAGCTCTCACTCCTTCACTGCCCTTGGGGAAAGCCAAACATGTAATTGGGATGTGTAGGAGGAGCTCCCTAGACTCAGTCTCCCCTCCTAGGGCCTCTCAGTGGTTGCCTCCCTCGCCCCTGTTCTGGCTGTACAAGTACTTGTGGCCTCCAGTGTGAGACTTACTTCCTACATCACTCAGGCAGCAGAATTCTCACTCTTTTGGTTCCTAAACCCAACTCCAGACCCACCCAAATGTGTAGCCTTAGCCTGGTGGTGTAGTACGTGCCTTGATCCCAGCACTGTGGAGGCTGAAGCAGAAGAAATGAGTTTGAGGTCAGCCTGGGCTATACAGAGACCATGTCTCAAAAAGCCAAAAAAAAAAAAAAAAAAAAAGTGCAACCTGCCTTCCTGAGACACACTGGACCAGCCTCAGAGCGCTCCCTTTGGAGTAGATGTAGCAGGGGGAAGGTCCCAGCTTGCTAAAGCCACAAGCCCATCTCCAATTTCTGCTGAAGATGTGCTTTTTGTGGTTGTCAACACAAAAGATCCCCTCCACAAGGCCTGCATTACACTAGAGAATGCATGACCCATACCAGGGCCCCTGCTTATTGTGACAGCTGCCTGTGCCATGTTATGTTTGTAACCCATATAGTTACAAACAGGGTGACCATGTTCCTCTGTACATGCTTGGCCCAAACTGTCCCTATCAACCCCTGTAAGAGAGTGTTTTCTGTATGAACTCGTACATGCTGAACACCAGTCTTCAGAAGAATAAAACCACAGTGCAAAGACAATGCACACCACCCTGTGGTCAGGCCCTGTTCCTGAGACCTGATTTCACCTTGTCCTTGGGATCTGTGAGACATAGCTTAAGTTCATCTGAGTGAGTCTTGTACTTGCCACCAAAATAGTCCAAAGGACAATAATGAAGCTCTGCTGACAAGAAGTGGCCTCTTTCCTTGTGTGAGGGTACTCACTACTTTTTAGAGGAAGAAACAGCACAAAGCCTTAGGGTGCAACCTTGCTCATGGTTGCACAGTGAGCTTCAGAACTGAGGCACAACTCAGGCAGGATCCCTGTGTAGCTGCCTAGGCCTCTCAGGGCAGAGCTGAGGTCCTCAGAGCAACCAGCCATAGATGTATAGATCTAAAGAGCTTTCTCTTCAGCACTGAGAGAGGAAGTCTAAACTTCTGGCCAGAATACATCAGATAATCCAGTGCTCTGGGGAAAGAACTGATCGTGCTGGGCCGCTGAGGCTAGACCATGGGTACCCAAATTGCTGCCACTAGCTCAGTGCAGGAGACAGATGACAGATCCAGGAGTTTTTGTGGGGGGAGGGGCTGCAGGAGCACAGCAGGTGCTTGAGGAGGTCTGAGGTCACAATGAGTCCAATCCAAGTTCTTTCTTCCTGCTCTGACCATCCTCTCTCACCTCCACAACTAGGAACATCTTTGGCCAAGCTCAGATGAGAAGTGCCAAGAGACTACTTGGGGCTTAAGGGCTGGGCCGGACTCCTGGGTCCCCAAACTGGATATAAATCCAGATGACCTTGCCTCACGGACCCTTCACTTCCAGAGCCCTGCTCCACCTGGCAGTTTCTCAATACCTAAAAGGATTTGTCTGAACATCCGGTCATCTAGCTCAGCGAGGGCGGAGCCGCAGGCAGGGCCACGCCCTGAGAGGGCGGAGCCTGGAGCAAGGTGGAGCTGGGAGCCAGAGTAGCGGGAAGAACAAGAAGCGACTGGAGCCCCGTGAGCGCGAAGACTGACGCTGGACCAAGGGCGGGGCCTCAGGCCTGGGGCGGAGCCACGAGCTGAAAAGGATCCGGCCACTCAGGCCCCGAGAGGTGGGGCCTCACGGCCAGGGGGCGGAGTCGAGGGCTGAGAGAGACAGTTATCCAGCCCTGAAGCGAGACGTAGTAGGAGGCCGAGCAGGCTCGAGGGCGGGGCTCTCCGCCGAAGGGCGGGGCCGAGCCCGGAAGGTGGCGTCGGCGTCTGGGAACCGCCGGGTGCGCTGGCCGCCTTGCCTGGGCCGTGTCGCGGTGGTAGTGGATCAAGGCTCCGGCTTCACCAAGGCAGGCTTCGCGGGCGAAGACCAGCCGCGCATAGTCCTGAAGAGCTCGAGCCTGGTCCCCAGCTGGGATCGGCCGGGCTGCGAGCTGGCTGGCGGCGTGGCGCGAGCGCACCCCATCAAGCACGGCGTGGTGGTGGACTGGGAGGCGCTGGAGGGGCTGTGGGAACGCCTGCTGGTGGGTGGCCTGCGGGTGTGCCCAGATCAGTGGCCCGTGCTGGTGAGCGACTCGCCGTCGGCGCCGCCTCAGGGCCGAGAGAAGGTGGTCGAGCTGCTGTTCGAGGCCTTGGCGGTGCCCGCGTGTCACCTGGCCAGCACCGCGTTGCTGGCGCTCTGCTCCACCGGCGCACTCAGCGGGCTGGCAGTGGAGGCGGGCGCCGGCGTGTGCCACGCCACGCCCATCTACGCGGGTCACTCGTGGCACAAGGCTACCTTCCGACTGGACGTGGCAGGCAGCACCCTGTCGCGCTATTTGCGAGAGTTGCTGGTGGCAGCCTGCTCTGACCTTGGATTGCAGGCCCTGCCTCGCAAGGCCATTACACAGCTCAAGAAGCGCAGCTGCTATGTGTCGCTGGATTTTGAGGGCGACCTCCGTGACCCTGCCCGCCACCATCCGGCCTGTTTCTGCTTGGGTAATGGGTGCTCCGTGCGCCTCAGCAGCGAGCGCTTCCGCTGCCCGGAACCCATCTTCCAGCCGGCTCTGCTAGGCCAGGCTGTGCCGGGACTGCCCACGCTGGCCTTTCGGGCACTACAGAAGGTGCCCACAACTCTGCGGGGACGGCTGGCCAACACGGTGGTGCTGGCTGGTGGTTCCACGCTTTTCCCTGGCTTCGCTGAGCGCCTGGACCAGGAGCTGGAGGCGCAGTGCAGGAGGCACGGGTACCCGGCCCTACAGCCCCGCCTGGTGGCCAAGCCCGGGCGTGGCCAAGCTGTGTGGACTGGAGGCTCCATGGTGGCCTCCTTGCACTCATTCCAACGCGGCTGGATGACCCGGGCCATGTACCAAGAGTGTGGTTCCAGGCTGGTGCACGAAGTGTTCAACTGAGTCAGAGGACAGAGGCAATGGTGCCACAAGGGGGGTTGGCAGGCACCGAGGCTTCAGGCTGAGCTGCAGCTCTACCAGAGTGTCCAGTACCAGATAAAAGTCTGAAGTGTTTGCAGCTGACAGGCTCCTCATGTGAGGATGGGCCACCCATTCCTTTCTGGGCTAGGAGGAAGTGGTTGGGGCCCACTGGGCCCTCGTTTTGACGTGCATGTTGGAATTCCCCAAACCTCTGCTACTGGACAGAATCCACTCCAGCTGACCACTCAGGAGGCCTGGGCCCAAGGGGCAACCCTTTGAAAAACTACTAAATCTCATGTGAAAGCAAGCAGAAGTCCTGTCCCTAGCTGTGTGCTCAGTGATCTTTAAACCCTGAGGGTCTCAGTTTGCCTTTCTATAAAAAATGGGGTTGGAGCAGGGTGTGTAGCTCAGTGGTAGAGCTCTTGCCTAACATGTACAAAGCCCTGTCTGGCTCTCCAGCACCAACAAAGTGGGGAAGGCACAATCCCAGGCTTACTGCTTCCTCCCCACCCCACCCCCATTTATAAGAGTTACGGGCAAAGGGAGGTGGAAGTTCCTTCAAAAGGAACATACAGGGCAGGGAATGGGGCTCGGGTAGAGTGCTTGCCTAGCAGGTCCAGTCCCCCAGCACTGAGCGGGGAGGCACACAAAGGGAGAAGTGGCTGATTTTTTGAAGTCACCACATAAGGGCCTGGGCCAGGCTGTCAACAATGTCTATACTTGTGCACACAGGTGTCCACACAAGCACACAGCAACATGTGGGCAAACACATACCTGCCTACTCAAATATGTCCTTGGGCCAGGCCCCACACATGGGCTGCATGCACCAGCAAAGGTCTGTGGGTGTGGGTAAGCACAGCTTCCCACCTCTCAGCCCATGCCTGGAGGGTCTGCCTGGAGGGTCCTGGCCTCACAGCCCCCAGCAGGCAATTAACAAAACCTACTGTGTGCCAGACATTGTTCTGAGTACTGGGAACAGAGCAGAGAACAAAACAGACATTTCCCTGCCATCACTCTCATTTAATTGGTACAACAAAGTATTATCCCTGGTTTACAGATGAGGAAACTGAGGCCCAGAGGGGTAAAGGGGCACAGTCACTAAGTGGGATTGTTAGAATTTGAACCCAGGCCTCCAGCTCCGCAGCCCTGAGCCAAGACAGAAGAAGGTCCCATAGCACTACAAACCCCTTGTGTCAATTTGGGCCCCCACCATCAGCCCCTCTGCTCACCAGCTTGGTGGTATCCATGGCATTGAGCACCGCACGGTTCAGCGACTCCAGCGCAGCCAGCACAGGCCGGTAGACACCCAGGTGCTTTGAGAAGTAGTCTGTGGGCAGAGGAGGTGCTCAGGGGCTCCCAGTCCCCCACCATCTATCTGGCCCAGAATTCCTCAGCTGCCAAGCAGTTCTCACATCCTGAGCCCAGCCCATCCTGTCCCACTGGGGATGAGCAACAGTCCCTCACCATACCCACCCACCCAGGGGCTCAGGACACAAGGCCCCATATGGGCCTACTCACCACACAGTTTCTCTGTTTCTAAGTTGCTGCAGTGAAAAGAAAAAGTGCTTTTCAGACCTTACACTTGAACCTGGTGAACTGGACTGTGCAAGCCAAGGTCTCCACAGCCCCCTTCCCCCCTCCCGGCTCCTGCTAACTCCCAACTCAGTCTGACACGGAATTTGGCTAGGGTGTTCAGCCCAAGCACTGGGAGCCTTGAATGCCAAGCTAGTATGGGATTTATCCTAAGGAGACTGTGGAAGGAAAGGGAGAGGGAGGGACAGCTGTATACATGTGTGATGTGTGTACACCTAAGTGAGGAAGCATGGGAAGGGGCATGCACACTCATGCCAAGATGTGTAGCTGCAGCATGTGTGGGAAGGTGTGTGTGTGTGCATGCACCTGCACACATGAGTGGAGGCAGGCGGGGCCCAGCTGTCCCCAGGCATCCTAAGCTCTGGTTCCTGCAGGAATCAGGATGGGGGGGGACAACTGCTGAGCATGGTGGTGACTCAGGTCTGGCTATTTTGGGGTCCCAGCTGGAAGCAGTATAGCAGGAAGGCTGAGCTGGGGAGGGGGTGGGTGGGCGAGGAAACTGGCATTGGGCCCTGGCGCCTTTCTCCCGGTTCTCCACTCCCTGTCCTTCAAAAGGAACAAGGCAGCAGGGGACACTGTAGGGTGGGGACAATGTGGCCAGGCCTCTGCCCACGGCCCAGCGATCCCTTCTTATACTCACTCGGTGGGGTGCCCATCAATGCCACTGAACAGGTCCCGAAGTTCCCCTGGGCTGAGAACCCCATCGGCAAAGTAACTCTGGAACTCCTCGAATGAGAGCTTACCGTCGTCTGGAAGGACAGAGAGCAGCGTGGGTGACTCCTAGCCTGACAGCACCTGTCCAGCCCTCCAAAAGTATCCTGGGATTCACAACCACCCAACCAGGTGGCATGGGATTCTGACTGCAGTGGGGACCCTCACTGCTAAGGGGCAAAAGGTATCTTTGGGGACTTAAAGAAACAAAATAACAGCAGCCTGGGACACATCAGAGCAGGGTTTGGAGTCTCTGCCCCACATGCTGGCCAGCCTGGCTCCAGGGTGGAGGGAACCTCTGCTCTGGACCAAGACCTTCACAGAGAAGCCACGTCTATCCAATACTAGGACTCTAAGCAGCAGTAGGCTGGCTGGGGAGGGATGATGACTTGAGCAAGACAGAGAGCAGAAGCGGGACCAGTGATCTGGGGATCTGAGGATCTGGGGATTCAGCAAATGGGAGTCAGGGAGCATGCTGGGGGAGGGCCTGAGCCTCTCCAGATAGAATGCCCTGACCCCCATGTCTTTGGTGGGGGGAGGGAGGTGTTGAGACACAGTCTTACTGTGTATTCCAGGCTGGCTTGAATTCACAGTCCTTCTGCCTCAAGCCTTCCAAGGGCTAGGATTACAGGTATGTACCATCATTCCTGACTTAGGATACGTTTTGACTTTTTTTAGCAGGTTTTGGTGATTGAACCTAGGGCCTTGTGCACGCTAGACAAGCATTCTACCACTAGAGTTACACCCTTGATCAATGTTCCCCACCAATTTGAAGAGACCCAAGGAGAAGGGTCAAGTGTTAGGGAGACGACCCTGTCTTAAAGAGGCTAAAACACAGAGCTGGCTGGTTCATGTCTGTAATCCTAATTGGGAGGCTGAGATCAGGAAGATATAGGTTCAAGGCCAACCTGGACAAACAGTTTGCAAGACCCCATCTCCAAAATAACCAGAGCAAAATGGACTGGCAGTGTGACTCAGATGCTTTGAAAGGGCCTGCTTTGAAAGCTTGAAGCCTCAAGTTCAAACCCCAGTCCCACCAAAAATAGAAAAAAAAAGGCTAAAACACAAGAGGGTCTGCAGTTCCAGGGAAAGGTGAATTCTTCCACTGGCCATCTGGCACAGTGGGCTGCTCTGAGTCATGGAGGATCGAGGCACCTGTTGCATGCTGGGTGCCCAAAGTGCTCTTTCCAGACCAGGGCAGGAGCTGACTCCCAGCACAGTGGGCCCTTGCTCAAGGGCTCCAGCCCCCTCCCCCATCCCCACCCTACTCTGATCCAACAGTGGGTCCTGTGGAAAGTGAAAAGCCTTCTCAAAATCTGAGAGAAGTATGCCACAAACTGTCCATTATCCCAACCTTCCAACTACCTCACACAAGGTGCTTATGACCATGGGTTACATACACAGACCTGGATTCAGAAAGTCCACCAATTAAAGGCTGTGAGACCTCAGGCAACTTGCTTCACCTCTCTGGGGTGAGGAATTCCACACTAGTTAACTGTTGTGAGGACAATATGAGGTTATGTACAGGAAGTACCTATCACTGTGCTAGACAGCACTGCATGGAGGATCCCCTTCCAGCCTCTGGCTGAACCACATTCCTCTCTCTCCATCCTGCAGCACTTTCTCTGGGAAGAATGCCTTGGTTCATTTCCTGTTTCAGACCCCCCAAGATTTGTCTCCACAATAGACTCCATACCCCCTAGCTCCCAACTCTCCCTCTCTGATGTTCCCCATCCTACCCCTGACCGTGGGACCCAGTGGAAGCCACACTCACCATTCTTGTCTGCTCTGCGGAAAACCTGGAGGACAAAGGGACATGAGTGGGAGCTGTGAGTGGGGCCTGGGAAGCAAAGGCCCCCACCCAGCAACGGGGCTCCAGCTGACCAGCCTGCCCCTGCCTCACCCTCCCTCCCGCTCAGCTCAGCCCTGCAGGAGCTTCTCCAGCAAGGGAAGCACAGGAAGCATACACAGCAGGGCCTGCTGCTACTCCTTTCTCCTGCAGGGATAGGCAGCATGGGGGTGCTCCAGGCCAGCTCCTGCACCCCCACCTCCCACAGCTGGAGTCTAGCCCAAGTTCTATCCAATGCATCAGCCCTTGGCACGGTCCCAGCTTGAGGAAGGTTGGGAAGATGGGCCAAGATGCGGTCCAAGCATCCTGGGCAACCGTCCCAGACCTGAACCCCAACTCTGCTGTGTGGCCATCCACAGTCCATCCCAGTCTCTGCACTCTCTGAGCTATTCTGTTGTGCCTGTTGGGGATGCTGATACCAGGCACTGGCCTAGTCCTTTCTTTGCAGGTGCCTCAGTTTTTCCACTAGTCATGAGGGAACAGCCTGGAGTTTAACTCTTTCAGGGCTGGAGTTTCTAATGAGGCTAATCTAGCATGAGGGCCATGGGCAAGTGTGTGTATGCATGTGTGTGCAAGGGGTAGAGAGGGTGACAGGAGGTAAGGAGCAACAGATTTTATTTACAGAGAAGTGTACATGAAAGGCAACAGAGGCAGAGACAAGCACAGTCAAGACAGAGCCCCATCTCTGCCAGGTAACAGGGAGTCCCAGATCCCCCGCAGCAGTCCAGCAAAGGGCGACCCAGCAGGCCTGACTAGGAGTGAGTTCAGATCTGGACAGAGAGCTCCCATAGCTCCAGTCCTGAATACCAGTCCCCTCCATCTGACCTCCTATCCTGCCTGACTCAGAGGAGTTCTGCTACTGGCTTGGGATCGCACAGCAGCCCAGTGTGGCCTGAGTAGGTAGATGGAGATACTGGGGGTGGGGTGGAGTACTAAGCTGGGAATGAGGCCACTTAGGGCCACACCCTGTTGTGTCCCTGACTCCGACTCCATGTGTGACCTGAGACATATCCTTTCAGGCCTTGGTTTACTCATCTGGGGGACAGGAGGGTCAAGCTCCTTCCAACCTGGAGAATAGTGGTCAAGATGCTGAGTCACTCAGGCAGTGGGGAGGGGGCAGGGGAGGGCCAGGAGGGGCTGAGCACAGAGGTGAAGGGCAGGGAGGGTCTCAGGACAGTGACTGAGCCCCTACAGTCACAGGAGGGGGCTGCAGAGCCACCTGCTGCCCCTGGGGTGTCCCAGACCACAGAGAGTGACTGAACAGTCCTTACCAACTGTGGGGCTCCTCTGCTCTAGGGTCAGGCCCGAGGGCTCGGGGCAGCCCTGGGGTCAAAGAGGGAGCGCACCGGATGTGTCCAGACCTCTGCGCAGTCAGTCCAACCCGGGATGCCACAGAGCAGGATGGTGACTGCTGCTGTGATGAAGTGTTGACAGCCCCCGCCCCCACCAGACACACAGATGGGGTGGGTTTGGGGTGAAGGGCAGCGGGGACAGACACTGGACCTAATACAGGAGAGCCATGAAGAGACAGACAGGACAAGGGACACAAAGACAGCGAGATCAAGCTAAAGGGATTGCTAAGGAAACGTAGAAAGCAGGATCAGAGAGAGACGTGAGGGAGGCAGAGACCCAGAGAAACGGAGGCAGGGCCAATAGACGTAGTGGGAGAGACACAGACATAGAGACCGACCCAGGAGAAACGGGGACCGGGGCAGGAAGAAGACAGCCCCGCCGAACACAAGACGGAGACCTGCAGAGCCCCTAGACAGCCCGCCCACGCGCCCCACTCACGTCCTGGAAGAGCGCGTGTCCCGCGGGCCCGGCGGCGGGCGCGGGCGCGGGCGCGGGGAGCCGCGGGGACTCGGGCGCTGACGGCTGGAGCAGGCACACCGCGAGCAGCCCCGCGCACGCCATGGCGGCGCCACCCGCTCCGAGGGTTCAGCGGGCTCCACGGGTCTGCTGCGCTCCCTCAGCCTCCGCCGCCTCGGGTCGGACTGGGGGCGGGGCGCCCGCCCATTGGCCGAGCACGGCCCCGCCCCCGCCAGCAGCCCTCCCGCCCCTCCCGCGCGGCGCCCCCTTACCAGCCAGCTCCCGGCCTCGGTTTCCCTGTCTGAAGATGAAGACGAGGCCACAGGCCGGGCTGTGCAAAGAACAAGTCCAATACCAATTCGCTCCGCGGTTCTGTCGCCAGGACCTCCCGAAGGGAGGAAACACCCCAGGGACCAAGCCCGCTCCCCCGCCCCGGACCGGCCGAGTAAATGGCAGCCAGCCAGCCAGGAGTAGAACCAAGGGCTGCACGCACCCACCAGAGGGCAGGGCCCAGGTCGGTAGTGGGTTAACAAAGCCAAGTGCAAAAAGCGTAATAGAGCCCCGAGTGGGCGGAACCCACCATGCTGTTCATCTCTGGGCATCTGTATGCTTTTCTGCCAAACGGAGGTAATAGAGGGGACGGCACCTCCATAGAATTGTTGTGCAGATGAACCGAATGTAAAGGACTGAAAAAGGGACTGGCCCAGGAAACACCCACCTTAAAGGTTTGTTATAGCAGGCCCAGTGGAGTACTCCCGGGTACCTTTCTCACTCCAGGTCTCAGGCGTCGGGACCACTCTCCACTTAGCCTTATTTCATCTCTTCCACTCTGGCCCTTCCTCAACCCATTCCCTGCACAGCAGCCGGCGCTTTACATCTGGAACGGGATCTGATACTCCAGTTTGACTGGTGATTGACTCCTTGTCCCCAGAATAAAACCCAAGACTGAACATCCCTGTGCCAACATCACTTTGTCCCTCAACTCAGGACTCCAGCCACTGGTTCCTCTCAGGTCCTTCCTCTGTCCTGCTTCATCCTGCCCCGGGGCCCTCGCCCATGTGGCCTTCTACTTGGCATGCTCAGTTCCTTCCTCCAGTTAACACTACTGATCTACAGTTCTCAGCCCCAGCACCAGCTCTTCCAGGAAAGCCGATTTTCTCATTTGTGCACATCACCAGACCCTGAGAGCCTCGAGAGGGAGGGAACACAGGTATCCCCAGGTTAGAAAGTGCCTGACACAAATATAAACACATTCCACTGTATTTGCTGCATGTTTACTAATGTCCAGAAGTGCATGGAAGGAAAGAGCAACCACCACAATGGCCCCTGGGACCGCGAAAGGAGGGAGGTTCACCTATTCCTTTCTGCACTTGGTAGTATGTGTAACTTCCTACAAGTAAAAGTACTCACTGGGTCAGTTTTGGGGTTTTTTTTGGTGGCACTGGGGTTTGAATTCAGGTCCTCATGCTTGCTAGGCAGGCTCCCTACTGCCTGAGCCACTCTCCAGCTCTTTTTTGAGGTGGGTTTTTTTTGAGATAAAGTCTCACAGAACTATTTGCTAGGGGCTGGCTTTGAACCACGATACTCCAGATCTTTGCCTCCTGAGTAGCTAGGATTGCAGGCATGAGCCACCAGTGCCCAGCAAGGGTCAGTTTTTAAGTTAGGAAAAATGGTGATGAAGACTTCCTTTCTTGGGGTAACGAGACTCAAAGGAAATTAGGTCAGATAGGGACAGGGAGAAGGGGAGAGCACTTTTTCCCAGCAACCTTGGCTTCCCCCACCTCCAGACTTACATGGAGTACAGAGTCCCAAAACTCAACCCAACCATCATCAAAATATTTATTAAGACCAAAGCAGGAGGGAACAGAGCTGTTAGGAAACAAATCAAAGTGCAGATTGGAGGGTGGGACAGAGCAATAAGGGGTGACCCTTCAAACACCAGACCTCAGTCTGGGCTTGGGAGCCCTTCATCCACCCCTCCTGCCTAACCCTGTCAGTGACCGTCCCTACTCACCTCTCCCATCAAATCCATCTGGGGACAACTAGGGTCAGGAAGTGACCCCTCTGGAAAGGGACCATCTCTCCATCCACCCATGGCCATCAGTCAGTCTGTCTCCCCCCCTTCCCAATAAATAAACCACTCAGGCCGTAGCTCCTTCAGGGTGGGGCAAAAGAATAGCTAGGGGACCCCTGCCCTTGCTCAGGGGTACAGGGAGTTGGGGTATCAGCCCCATACCCCTCCCACCTTTGCTCGCTCCCTGGGCTTGCCAAAGAGGCCTCGATAAATAAATAACGCTCCATTAAAGCTTCGATCAGAAAGCCTTTAAGACAGAAGTGCTCTTGCAGCCCTGCAAACCCAGCCAGCCAAGGCCTCCCCATCTGGGATTCTAAGAGCAGGTGGCCACCTAGGCCTCACAGGGCCCCTGGAGCAAGGAGACCGAAAGTGCAGTTAGAGCCCCCCATGTGCACACATGGACTCATCCACACACACGTGGACACACCAGGGCACGCTGCAGTGTACACACAGATGTGTTCACCTTCATTCCCCGGTACAGGTGCACACACACATACTTGCACACCACATTCACCCCAGGTACACACGTGTGAGGTGCTGGGTGCATGCACATATACACCACAAACACAGAATCCTTCCCTTTCTGGCCTGCTACCCCTGGCGGCGACCAGAGTCCAGAGCTAGAAGCTACTGGAGACAGAAAAGAAAGTATCAGGCTGGAAGTATAGCCTGGAGCAGGGGGCTCCAGGGCTGCTGACATGGGGTGTGCGCCTCAGGAGACCCTGAGCCCTGAAGCCCCTGTCAGAAATCCAGGGGGGTAAGGTCCCCAAAGTCACAGTCAAAAAGGTCTCTGATGCCCTCACCCTCCTCAAGGCCAAAGTGGTAGTCAAGGGCCTCCTGGGGTGGGGAGAGGCTGATGAACTCCTCAGGAAGGAGACCAGAGAAGTCCTCTCGCACATGCTCCAGAAGCGAGTCTGCAGCCACCAATGGGGATAGGCGGTCCTCGTCCACAGGGGCCCGCAGGCCACCCATCCGTGATAGCAGGGGCTCTGGGGAGATAGGGGAACATCATAGGCCAGGGGTAGCTGGTAGGGAGGAAAAGGGGGCTGCCATGCCTGCTGGCCTACCTAGAAGAGCTCCCCTTTACCTACCTTGCTCCAGGCTGAGCAGGGATTGGCCAGGATCCACGGATGGGGATGAGGGGAGAGATGATGGTGGTGGCACTGCAGTGACAGGGTCATCTGTCTTGTCCTCCTCCCCAGAAGATGCCTCCTGGGATGGGGTCTTCGCAGGGCTGATCCCGGCACTCTCCTCAGGGCACAGGAAAACATCGATGGGGCCTTGTTTGCTCTTAAGGGAGATCTGAAAGGTCTGGGTGGAGGCAGCAGGCAGGATAAACTGAGGCCTGAGTGCCCACCAGCCCAGCCCAGCCTGTCCTGGTCAGGCCTGGAGTCCCTGGTCTCACCTCTGAAGAGTCCACAGCTTGGAGTTGGGTCTCCGGAGGGGCCTTGATCACCATGACCATCTGCTCTGCAGGGTCTGCAATGCTACGAAGGTCCTGGCAGGTCACATAGGCCAGGGTTGGTGGAGTCAAGGACCTTATGACCTTTGGCTTTTGAGAGGCCACTGACCCAGAAAGCTCATGAGGCAGAGCCCACAGCTGCCTAGTTACTCCTTACCTCTAGACTACCCACCCCAGTGCCTAACACATAGTAAGCGCTCAAAACCTCATTCTCCTAAACTTCAATTGCCACAGCTGTACAATGGGACCATTTACCAACCTAATTCCAAGCTAATAATGATGGTTGCCTGTGATATTCCACATAAAATAAACAAACTTCAGGGGTTGGGAATTTATTTTGGTCCATAATCTTGGTGTCAATTGATGGTTGTACCCAAAATTTATAAATACAATTTCAACATCCATTAAAAAGAAATACATCTTTGCTGGGCACCAGTGGCTCATGCCTGTAATTCTAGGTACTCAAGAGGCATAGATCATGGTTCAAAGCAAATAGTCTGAGAGACCCTATCTTGAAAATATCCAACACCAAAAGCATTGGCAGAGTAGCTCAAGTGGTAGAGCACCTGTCTAGCAAGCATGAAGCCCTGAGTTCGAACCTCCGTATTGCCAAAAATAATACATTTTACTGAAGTTTCTATTTTTGTGAATGAAAAACAAACAAAAAAAATGGTCTCTAACTTCAAACCTACAATCATGTACTGAATCACTGTGCTAAATAAATGCTTGTTATCATTGGTGCTAGCTTTTCTTTTTATTTGATGGTGGTACTGGAGTTTGAATTCAGGTCCTCCCACATACCCCCAGTCCATTTTTGTTTTTTGAGACAGAATCTCACTATGTAGCCCTGGCTGGCCTGAAACTTCTGATCCTCCAGTCTACCTTCCAAGTGCTAGAAGGTGTGGCATGTGCCACACCTTGCTTCTTTTTTTAATCTTCACAATTTTGGAATTAGGTATTATACTATTCCTCTTTTATAGATGAAACTAAGTCCCACAGAGATTAGCTAACCTGTTCAGGGTCACATGGTGAGTAAATGCTGAGGCAGGACTTGCATCTAAAGCCAAAACCCTCCTGAGTCCAGGGTCCAGGATAACTCTCAAGTCTCACTGAGGTAGGGCACCCACCTGCCATTCTGCCCTCCACACCCTCTAGTCAATCCAAGGATATCGCTGGCTGTCAGAGTCTTCAGAAAGCAGCCGCAGCTGCGTGGTACAGATGTGCATCAGGTGGTCCAGCTGCTGCTCACTCTCCTGCAGTTGCTGGAGGTCCTGGGTCAGCCCTTCTAGCCGTCCACCGATCCCCACTGTGGCCTGGCTGCCTCTGTGGGGAGGAACCTGGGAGGGTTAGAAGCTCCTGGCCCTCTGCCCTTCAGCCCTGGCCCTCAGGATGGTTTGCTCCTGCTGCTGTTCTATGAGGCCCAGGCAAGCCCTTTCCCATCTCTGGCTCCAGCTTATCAGCTGGGCTCCAAGTCAGCTTGGTATAGGTTTAAAGCCTGGTCTGTCAACAAACACCTACATGTCCCTACTAGGTGGCTAGGTAAGTAAATGAGGGCACAGACACCCCATGGAATCTGACATAGTTGAATTAAATGTACTACATTAGATGTAGTACATTTGACATGTTGTCAAGTAAAAAGACAAAGCAAACCATACAGAATGGAATGATCTATCAAAAACAAAAGGCAAAGGTCAAAAATGGCAGCAAGATGCTTGGGGAGGGAAGGAGGAAGGAAAAAAAATAAATCAAGAATTATCAAGAATAAAACATTTGTCAGACAAATCTTATCGATGGCAGAAGTCAGAACAGTGGTCACAGGTACAAGGGGGGGCACAAAGGAACTTCTGTGAGATTGGAAATGTTCTTTATTTGGTCCAGGAAGGGGTTTACCCAGGTGAACCCATACAACTGCAGCTGGACAAGTAAGATTTCTGTACTTCTCAGCATCTATCACCACCAGGGAAGCCACCCTTCCCAGCTGTTAGATGAAAGGCGCAGGCTGGCACAGGCAGGCACACTTCTGCCTGGCCTGGCTTCTGCCTATTCCCCTGCCTGGCTGGTACCTACAGCCACTGGATATGGTTCTTGGACTTCTTGGCAATGAGCTGGATGCCCTCAAGGACGTTGGTGATGTCGTAGATGCGCCGTTTCTGCACCTTCAGCACCTCAGCTGCCCAGTTCAGGTCAACAACACCATCGGCTGAGCGACTCAGCAGCTCCAGGAAGCGTTTGGTGGTCAGATTCAACGACGTCTCATAGCGTGACTTCTCTCCGGGAGACTTCACACCTGGGGCCAAGGGTCAGTGAGCCCCTCAGTACTCTGCCCACTTCCAGCCAGGTCTGTCTGTCTGGCAATGCAGAGCAGCAGTACAGGGTAGATGGCTCCTTCCCCTTGGTCAGACCATGCAGGGAGGCCCTGTGGCTGCTGCCTGACAACCACAGCATTCCTCCTCTGGCTGGGGAACTCCCCACCCACGGAGTCTGAGGAAGCCATGCCAGGAAGCCATTCCAGCTGCCTGCTGGGCCCCCAGAGGCCTAACCAGCTAGACTTTGGTCTGCAAGCTTTTTTTTGCCTATCCACACCCCCAACCTGGGCCTGCTCAGAGGGCCCTGTCCAACTAGATTCCATGGGTACCTTTTCCTGGGTGCCGGCCTCTACCCCGGACTGGTCCACTGCTCTCAGCCAGGTACTGATGGTCAGTTTCCAGGTCCAGCCTCCGCTTCACCTGTAGCAGAAACCATGGAAGATGCCCAGTAACCAAGAGTGAGTCCACAAAGACATGGCTGAGGACTTGAAACCCCTGGGCACTGCCCCACCTCAGTTTCTCTAACTAGGATGCTTAACTGTGAGACAGATCCTAGGGGACCCAGCAAGGGGTCAGAATCCTACCACATGGGACACTCAAATGGAAGGCAGAAGACCTGAGTTCAAGCCCCAGCTATACAACCTTCCTGTGGAATGGTTTTAAATATATATGGAAGAAGAAAAAGTTTTATGGTGTTGGAGACCAAAACTAGGGCCTTGTGCATGCTAAGCACACACTCTACCTCTCAGCTATATCAGCTATCTGCAAAATTTTTGACACATCTCCTTTCAAAAGATGGAAGTTAATTCTCTCCTTAAATACAGGCCAGATCAAGCAAGTAGCTTGCTTCTAGTGAATAGGATGTGGCTAAAGTGATACTGTGTTACTTTCTGGGACTAGGTCACAGAGGCACTGGAGCTTCCTCCTTGCTCTCTAAATTGGATCACTCATGGGGCGGGAGGTAGGGTTTGCAGTCATGTCACATATAAAGTAGCCCTAATGGCAGGTCCCAGTGACAAGGAACCAAGAATTCTCCCCAATGATAAAGTGGGAGAGCTTGGAAGCAAATCCTCCAACCTTAGTCAGGACTTACAGCATTTTGGCTGCAGTCTCAAAAGAAACTCCAGGGGCTGGTGGTGTAGCTCAAGCAGTAAGAGCACCTGCCTAGCAAGCATAAGTCCCTAAGTTCAAAACCCCCAGTTCCACCAAGGAAAAAAAAAGAGACCTGAAGTCAGAAGCATCCAGATAACTATCCTGAGTTCCTAACACACAGAAACTATTGTTTTAAGCCACTGAGTATACAGGACCCCTGGCAAGTCACTTCCTTTCCAGTTCTTTTTTGCGGTACTGAGGTTTGAACTCAGGGCCTACACCTTGAGCTACTCCGCCAGCCCTTTTTTGTGATGGGTTGTTTTGAGGTACAGTCTTTTGAACTATTTTTCCCAGCTGGCTTCGAACAGAGATCCTCCTGATCTCTGCCTTCTGAGTAGCTATGATTACAGGTGTGAGCCACTGGCACCTGGCTCCTCTCTGGTCTTTAATCTACTAATCTAGAACTATGGGAGCAACTGGTGCTTACCAGCTGCTTTGCATTCATCAGCTCACTCCATTCTGTGGACTAGCAGGACAATGATTCCTACCCAGGACAGCCTGAGGAAGACCCTGAGTTCCTGAGCTCCTAACCTCCATGCACCTCTCATAGGTCAGACACTCAGGAATGGAGATTGTACTGAAGTCCCACAGGCTGCTCAAGTGCACTGTGACTGGAACAGATTTGTTCAGCCCTCCAGCAGCCACATGGCTCTCTGAGCTGGACCTGCATCCAGCCTGGTTAGTCACTTTCATCCCATCCAGTCACCACAGCCACAATCAATCTCCCATGGACTGTCCCAGCAGTCTCTACACTGGTCTCACTGCCTCCAACTGTTCCCCTCCACAGCAGCAATCCTCTCCCAATTCTCATCACCTATAGCCCCTGTCTAAGACTTTCTTCTGGCTCTGCTTCCTTTACCCTCCTCTGCCACAACTTCTGCTTAGGTGGTTTTTTTCTTTCTGCAAATTTCTGCCTTTAAGACTTAGCTCAGGCTGGTCCCTCTCCCTGGATTGCCCAAGCCTCCTTCCCCTCCTCACACCTGTTGCTACCGTCTCTGGGCTAGAACCTTACCCATCACTTCAGAGCAGCCTCGGCCCTAGAGCCCTGCTGGGGCGCCCCATCCTTGCCTTCTCCCTGGTATCCTTGCCCACTCCTGATGGCAGGCCAGATGCTATTTCTGTCACCATTCTCTAGGTAAATGCTGGCACATGGATCCTGAAAGCCAGGGATGAACACTGGTGAAAAAATCTGAATGACTCCATCCATGGAAGAGGCCAGGAAGACCATGACTTCCTGAGCTCCTGGAATACTACACAGATGTCAAGGTATGAGGCAGGTCAATTTGGTCCTCTTAGGATTTTGAGAAGTAAAACACTGTGGTAAAGCAAGAGATGTAGAGTCCTTTCCTAGACTACAAATCTCATAGGCTTTCCTCTGGTTCAGTTTCTGTGAGGCAAGTGCTCTGTCACTTGAGCTATACCCCCAACATTTTTTTTTTTTTTGCAGTCCTGGGGTTTGAACTCAGGGCTTCACACTTGCAAGGCAGGTGCTCTACCACTTGAGCCACGACTCCCCGTTTCAGGGGCAACCTCCGCATTGGAGGACCATAGAAGATTGTTGCCTTTCCTGAGCAATGTGAACAATGCACTTTTGGAACAAAAAGGAGACATTACAATTTTTAAAACTGTAAATAATGAAATGTCACAACCACCTAAAAAAAAAACAGCCTTAGAAAAGGAAAAATGGGCTGATTTTTTTGCAGTGCTGGTGATCAAACCCAGGGCCTTAATACATGCTAGGCAAGTGCTCTACCACTGAGCTATGCCTCTAGTTAGCTTTCTAGTTTCTTAACTCTGCTTTCTACAATAAACATGCTTATTATATGTACAATGCAAAGCTTTAGTTTTTCTTGTTGTTGTTGTTTTGGCTTTCTGAGGCAGGCTTCCTATGTAGCACAGGCTGGCCTTGAACTCCTGATCTTCTTGCCACAGAATGCTGGGATTACAGTTGTGTATCAACAAGCCCAGCTAGTTTCTTATTGTTGTTTCTCTCTCTCACTTATTTTTAATGACCATGAGAATGTGGTAGAGGTAGACAAGCAGGCCAGGAGGAATATATGAATTGTTTAGAGACCTGTATACAGAAGACACTTGACAAACGCTCACCAGGACAAAAACCAAGCCTGTAGCTTATTTTAAGAACTGCCCCCAAAGAAAAGCCAAAGCATAGTTAGTGGAAACCAAACGCTGGGCCTGAATTGCTGGCTTTCAGCTCTAGGATGGTGCCAGCCTCCCCCCAACCCCACCCCAGAAAATGCCTGTTGGCCCCTAAGTTCTAGGAGAGCAGGGGTCCTTACTTGCCTCTATGCCAACCATAAGCCCTCATTGGCTCAAATGTTGAATGAATGGAATGCTTGGGCCACCAAAGCTGCCTGCCCCTGACACAACTGGGGGTGAGGAGACAGAGGGCATTTCTCTTCCTCCCAGTCCACCCTCCCTTTGGGCCTGCAGTTGAGCTCTGTGAGGACAGGACCCACAGGTGTCAGGTCTCTACAGCCCCTGGCCTAAGTGCTGTCATGCAGTGAACAGAGAACACCTGCCCAGGCCCAAGCTAGTACTCTCAGGGACAGGCCCATAGAGTAAACAGGAGACACACCCCTGACACAAGCCCCTGAGACCTTTCTGGACTTTCTTCAACTTCTAGTAGCATCTCCAGGTCAACATTCACAAAATTCTGCCTGGTCCCATCACTCCCTAGCTGAATGACATGGGAAGGTTCAAACAACTCTGGGCTTCAGCTTCCCCATCTATAAAAAGGGAAGATTGCTGACAGGGTTAAATGAGTTAATTGGGTAAAGTGTGCTCAAAATTTCCTCTAAACAATGGGGGCAGCTATTGTCATTATTAGCATCTTGGTGACTCCTGAAGGAAGGAAGGCAGCACTGGGCATGGGCCAAGAGGTTGGGTGGGGGGGGTCTTTCCAGGATACCTCGGGACCAGCTGCCACCCACACCCCCATCAGCACTGGAGCAGCTTCTACCTCCTTGTCCTGGGCCCTGCATTGCTCCTCCCACTTGCTCCAAGCCCCCTGCTAACCCCCATCCTTCCTGGGCTGCCCCTACCCTAGACTGCTGGTCCTACCTCCAGGCCACCACTCCCTCCTGCCACTGTAATTCACTGCTTCTGTAGCCGCCCCCTCCCCAAGTCCCAGCTGGTCTTGGGCTTCCTGCTGCTCAGGGATCAGGAAAACCTGATGCAGGGGACCTCCCTGGGACGCTTTCTGTCTCTGGGTACTGGAGCCTCCTCTCCTGCACCCAGAGCCCGGCCCACTCAGTCCTTCAACTCCGAGGCTCAGGGGTCTGCATGTCTGATTAATGAGGATCCATGGCAACCAGGGGCTGGGAGGGTGGCAGATGGAAGGACAGGCAGAGGGAGGGGACCAGCAGCTGGCCCAGTGCCCCGCTCCTGCAGAGAAAGGCGGCCTCTCCCCAGAGGCCTGGGGCCAGGCCTGCACCTGGCAGTCCAGCATCGGGGCAGGAAGGAGGGTCTCAATGGATCCCCAATGTCGTCCCCTTGCACCTCCCCAGCAGCCGTGCCTACTACCCACTAGCTGCAATTTCTGGTCTCAAGCCACCAGCAAACAGGAGTTCAAATTCCAGTCCCACCACCTGCAGCTGTGTGACGGGGACAAGTCACTTCCCGGTCTGGGCCTCAGTTCCTCCCTCCGTCAGATGGGCACGTGACGATACCGAGCTCACAGCGGGGTTGGGCGTTTGGGTTGGCTTGAAGTGTGCCGAAGGCCTGGCATGCACTAAGAGCCAGCTGGATACACGTGGACCATTATTATCACTAAGTCTGACACTCAAGCGGTTCGGGTGAGAAAGCTGAGGCCCAGAGCGCAGAGGAGCAAACAGGGACCGGCCCTCGGTCACCCCGCACCCCGGGGCGGAGCCCAGAGGCCCAACCCAGGCTCTGCACCGCCCAGCGCGGACGCCTCAGTCCACCCCTCCCCCGCCGCCTCCAGGCCAAACACCGCGCCCGCCCGGGTCAGCACGGGGGCTACGGCAACGCACTCGGCCCGGCGTCCCTGGAGTCCGTACCGGCGGGCGGCCGAGAGCCGGGCGCGGCGCGCTGGGTGTGGGCCGGGGCGCCTGCGGCGTGGCGAAGAGCAGCAGGTCGGGGTCGCGGGGCCGGCGGCGGGGCCGGCGGGGCCCGGCTGGGCGCTGGCGTCCTGCGCGGTGGAGATGATGACGATCTGCGAGGAGTCGAGCAGCCGCAGCGCTCCGGCCCCGAGCAGGGCCTCCAGCGCCGGCGCGCATGAGCCGCCCGCTGGGGCCACGGCCATGGTGCTCACGGCCCGCGCGGCCTGGGTGGCAGGCGGCGGCGGCGGCGCGGGCCCATGGCGGCTGGCCCCGGCGAGGGCTCGATCCCGCTCCGCCCCCGGCCGCCGCTGCCTGCAAAGTCCCGGCCACTTTTACGCGCCAAATCCTTTTTGCCGCGAAAGAGCCACGAGCTGCCGAGTGCCGCCACCATTGGCTATCTGGGATGTGACGAAGGCGGCGGCGGTAGCGTCCATTGGCTGCAGCGCGCCGGACCGGCGGCGGAGGGCGGGACCGGACGGAGGCGCGGGGCGGGGCGGCCAATCGTGGGGCGGGGCGCGCGCAAGCTTTGTCGGGGTGGTGCTAGGCGCGTTCACTCTCCCCGCCCCCAGGCCAGAATACCCTTTCGGGAGGCGTGGGGACCGGGACCCCGCCCCCGTCCCGACACACCCATCCTGTTGATCCCTGTAGTGGGGAGGTTTAGATCAGCTATAGGACTTGGTTGTAAACGTCTCACCATCCACATACCCCAGGTGACCCTCCAAACCCCTTTACCTGTTCTCGCCCACGCCCTCAGCTGTGATCTCCGTAGAGTGTCTCCTTCCTCTTTTCTAGATGCTCAGACCCACTTACAGAGTTCTAGCCCCATCAACCACATCTCCCATCCTCAATCAGACCCAACTAGGCCATTTAGTTTCAGATCCTGCACCCTGCCCTATCCCTTTCGTTAAGAGCCCAACAAATGAGGATGGATGTCTGGCTGGTATAGCCAACAACTTTCCTACAACCGCATTCTAGCCGAAATCTCAATAGCCAAGGCACGCACAACCCCAACACTTGCACAGCTTTTGCTTGAGCTCATTCATTCACTCAAAACGTCTCTTGAACGTGCTCAGTTCAGACCTGGACTCGGGGCTATAAGAGCCCACAGACTAGTGAAAAGGAGAGGAAGAGAACAGAGCGGTAACAGATGTTTACAATATGATGCAGTTTCAACTATTAAAGTAGTTCCGTGTTAGACCTCACAAAGGGTGGAGGTGAGGGTGCTGAACGTGAAAATGCATTTAATCCTGAGGCCCTGGAACATCATCAGCATTTCTTATCGCTCAGGTCAGCCGATCTCGTCAACACTGGTCTCTTCGTGCTAGGCCTTGTGCCAGCACTGAGAACAGAGATCAAAGATTTAATAAGGTCTACAAGTTTGCCTGCTCTGTGGCAGGGTTGACCCATCAGAAAAAAGTAGCTAGGACACAAACAAGAATCGATCCCTGGGCTCCTCTAGGGAGCCCTCTGGAGTCGAGATTACACACTTCCTCATTGTATCATGCTACCTCTGTCCCAACACACTTTTTCTCCACCTGCATCCTCTACCAGTCTAGGAGCTCCAGTAACGCTTCAGAATTACTCTGGCACTTGTTAACTTTGGGGCCACACCAGCCCTGACAATTTAGAATCTCTAGGAGCCCAGGAATGTGCATTTATTTATTTTTGGTCCCACTGGGAGTTTGAACTCAGGGCCTCATGCTTGCTAGGCAGGTGCTCTTACCTCTTGAGCACTCTGCCAGCCCCCGCCCCAGGAATGTGCATTTCCTATCCCTATCCCAGGTGATTTTTGTGTGCTTGCTTTTGAGAACAAATTGGTAGACCTGTACAACTAAAATATGTAGTGCAGCCTCAGATTACAGCTCCTGAAGATGCCTCTTAGCCTCAGTTTCCCCATCTGTGAAGTAGGCACACACACCTTGCCTGGCCCCTTCCAGGGTTGCCATGAGCATGAAAAGCCAAAGGGATTTAGAAGTGTTCTATAGACTATCAGATGGTTTTAGAAAGTACCAGGCAGGAGCCCCCCCCACACACACACATAAGCAGTTTGTGAAAGTCACTCATTGCAAATCCTACGATGTGTCAGAACTAGAAAGGAGCACAGACACCACATAAGCCTCTTGCTATACTGTGGAAATGAGGCCCATTCAGGGGAAGCTACCTAAGAAGCCAGCTAGTGACAGAATCTGACTGACACTGAATCTGCCTGTTTCCATTCTCTGCCTACCCCGCAGTCCCCAGTAGAGAAACTGAGGGCTGGGTTTCATTCTGTATAAGGAAGCCAGGCGCTGACGGAGGTGAGAGAAGCTGGCACATTCCCATTCCAGATGGAGTTTCCATTCTCCATCCTTGCTAAGGGGCCCATTAACAGTAACACTTTCATAAAGCCCTTTCCTACCCAATAGTCATTCAACAAATTCTTACTGAGCATTTGTCGTATATAAAGCATCATGGTGGTTGTTCAGTTCTATGATGACGAAACTGAAGCCCAAAAGGACACAAGTTTATTTCGTAGTAAAAAATCTATTATTCAGGCTTTGAGGAGGCAAAGGCCAGGGGGTTTCCAAAGCCTTACCCTCCCCAAAGTATTCAAGCATATATCCCAAAGCCAGTAGTACATTCCTATAGTCCCAGCTACTTGGGAGGTTGAGATAAGAGGGTCACTTGAGCCCAGGAGTTTGAGACCAGCCTTGGCAACACAATGAGATCCTGTCTCAAAAAAAAAAAAAAAATCTTCAGGTACACATCCTAGATAAAAGTAGGTGTCCTTTTCCCACTGTCCCTTGTGTCCTGCTGCAGCAAAAAGAAGTGAAGACCAGAATTTCCGGCATGAAAACAAGGAAGAGATAAGGGCTTTCTGGATCTATTAATACCTAGTGGAAAGCAGAAAAGACCTGACAGATGGGGCTCCTTGGCCCAGAGCCTGGAAGATCCTGATAAGGCTGTTGTTAATGTCAGCAGTTATCAAGCAGGTAGGCTTCCAGAGAATCAACCATCACTGGACTGCCACTTCCATTGATGATCTTCTTTCATTCCCATAATCCCACAAGTGAAGTCTGGGGAAAGGAGGCTCAGAGATGGGCACCCACAGCTCAGGATCACACAGAAGGCTAAGAGGTGGCAGCTTAGCCTGTTCTACTGCAATACCTGGCGCCTGCCCTTCATATGTGCCACTCTCTGTTAATATCCCAATAGCCATGCTCAGGGCTGGTAAGATTGCAATGTGTGGTTTCCAATGGTATTATGGCAGATAGTTGCTTACTTAGTAAGTGCTTTCACCCACCACCATCTCCACCAACTTCCTCCAGGAGTCCAGGTGAGTGGAAGCTCCAGGGCCTATGTCCTCTGTCTGTAGACATCTTCCCCTTGGTTGGACTTGTAAATCCAAAAATCCAGGTAGACATAAAGAGGAGTACTGATCTGTGTGACCAAGATTCACTTCATTTCTTTTCAGCCTCATTCATTCAACCCACAGACTTTTGTGTATGGGTGTGGTACTGGGGCTTTGAACTCAGGGCCTCCACCTTGAGCCACTCTACTAGCCCAGTTTTTTGTGATAGGGTTTTTCAAGATAGGGTCTCAAGAACTATTTGCCTAGGCTGGCTTCGAACTGTGATCCTCCTGATCTCTGCCTTCTGAGTAGCTGGGATTACAGGCATGAGCCACGGGTGCCTGTCTCAACCCACAGACATTTATTAAGCACCTGCTAATATTGTGCTGGGTTCTGGGGAGAAAGCCACACACAAAACAGACCCATCTTGGAACACCTGGAACTCACAGTCCAGTGGTAGACTAAAGAATTATTTCTAGGGACCCACACGATACACTTGTTAAGAAGTTTGACCAGTGACACGCAAATAATTTAAAACCATTTATTCCACATACAGCGCCTCCCCTAAACATACACTCTTAGCTTAAAAAAAAAATCTCAAAACATGAATGTCCCATCATTATGAAGAACTCATAATTGGGAGAAATGGATCTGTGGTGACTTCATTTTATTAAGAGGCACACAGATCCCATTGTTGAGTCCTGGCAGAGGGAAGTGGGGAGTTTTACATCTGCAACTCCTCTTCCTCTTGAATGATCCCACAATGCTACAATGACTGACCGTTTACTGTTCCTGGAGATGCTCTGTCACTGTGCCAGCTCTGAGCAGGCCTCCTACCCATCTTGAGAGACAGTCTAACACAGGAGCAAGTGTTTGGAGCTAGGCAGACCCCAGCTCTTGTGGGTTGCCTGACTTGGGGCAGTGACCTACCCTCTGGAAGACCTTTGCCTGCCCCATACCTAGAATGAGGGGCGAGTTCTCTGCTGGGAAACAGGTGTGATTGCATTTGTCCACAGAGTGTTTTGGTTTTTGTTTTTTTTAAATTACCAATTGGTTTTAAGATTTTAAAATTGGGAAATGCTACATAAAAATTCAAATATCTGGGGAAAAATTTTACTAAGTGGAGTTTTGCTATGCAGTATAGCTTTGCTCCTTAATTAGGAAATAGGGACTGGAGGTGTGGCTCAAGTGGTAAAGCCTAGCAGGGATAAGGACCTGAGTTCAAACCTCAGTACAACCAAAAAAATCGATTATCTAGCTTTCTGTTAAAACAGTAATATATGTGTACCACCATGTTTTTCTCTTTTTATATTTTCTTTGAAATTGCACAAAATATTATCAAAGGAAAGTCCATTTTTAGTTACTAGCTCTTCTTTCTTTCCTTTTCTTTTTTTTTTTGGGGGGGTAGTACTGGGGTTTGAACTGAGAGCCTCATGCTTGCTAACACTCTACCAGCCCTTTTTCTTTTTTTTTTTTTTTTTTTTTTTTTTTTATGGTGCTGGGGATTGATCCTAGAGCCTTGTGCTTCCTAGGCGCATACTCCACCACTGAGCTACACACCCAGCCCCTTTCTTCATTCTTTAGGCTCAAAATAATGCTTTCATCTTGGATGACCTCTAATGGTGGTAAGCTACAGTGTACATAAAGTGCTGGATTGGGGACTGGTGGAGTGGCTCAAGTGGCAGAGTACCTGCCTAGCAAGCATGAAGTGCCACAAAAAAAAAAAAAAAAGTGTTGGGTGGAGCTGGGAGTGTAGCTCAGGGGTAGAGCTCAGGCTTAGTTTATCTAAGCCCCTGGGTTCAATCCCACACTAAAACAAACAAAACAAGTAGGCACAGAGCCTGCAGCCATAAGCCCCCAGGTTATCCCCTTGGCCTTCAGTGTCACCAGCACATTCCAGGCTGGCCATGGTGAACTGTCAGCTTTTCTTTCTTTTTCTCACTTTCTGGCTGACACACACTTGGTCCT